AGACCACTGTGGACGTCCGTTATCATTGAGTTAATAGTTAGCGGGTTTGTTTCAACAATGACAAAGCAGTCCGGATCCACGCTCTAAGCGCTAACCTGAACAAGGTCTATGAAAATGCATTCACCTTCACTGAGGTTAGACATGCGTAATCAATATCTCCACTTTACCCAGCCAGGTTGTAGACTTCAAACTATATGAAAGCACACTGGTTGTTGATGTGTGTGGAAACTATTGATCCATGTTTAAGTGCCCCGTTTCTCGCTTTATAGCGTACGCATTATTGCTTGACTAGGCAGGTAAGCAGATCCCGCTTAGAATAGGTGCCGGATACTTGACTGCTATTCGGTTGCGTTGAGGTAACGCAGGTTGACCGGTGTAATTAAAGTGAAATATCTTGGCTTTGGTACCTCTGGCATCTTTATTCTATTACAAGTTTACTGTGGGCCTGTCTTTAAAAGAAAACATTTGAACGTCCTTCACGTGGTTTAATTTTGGTGTTCAGAATCCACCAGTTGGTAATATGTAGCAGCGTAAGCACCAGCTCTGCTTTAGAAGTTAAAAAGCATTACTGAATCTATCATTCTGGTTATTGTACCTGTGATTCCTTTAGCCGAATCTAAAATACTATCGCTTAGGCCTCAATTGACCTGGAATTGTCTACTTTAACAAGGGTAATGTAAACCGCAATTATAAAGCCTCGTACGTTCTTCCTGTCCGGTGTGCACAGAGAGACGTCTTGTTTTTGTAAAGATGCGTGATAGATTCAAGCGTTCACATGGTTACGCGAGAACGCCGGTCACCACAAAATTTAGACCAGCCTCAGAGACGATTACACTTCACCCAATGACCTGCCTTCAGATTTATGGCAATACAAAAGATCCCAGAGCTATTTGAAAAAATAAAAATGAAAATTTTTCAGCGACCTCACGGATCTAAACGTATATTATTATATTACGTAATCTGGAGGCCTGATTTCTCCTCAAATGATTTCAAAATTCCTTGTTAGCCTGTGAGTGCTCTTAAGAAATCCTAACGGGCCGGGCCTGATTTCCTGTCTCTCAGTGCATACATTCGGTGGCTTATTTAACAGTAAAGCTGGACTATGAATGACGTCGCCTGAGGGAAACGAAGTTAAATAATTTTGTAGTATTGAAGACAACATCCAAGCCGTCGACATTTATTTAGGTAACTAATTCAAGCCTAGTTGGCTCCATTGCCGAATCGATGCATTGTGTAGGTAGTTTGTCTAATCCCAATTGCAACGACATTTTCTATCTTTTTGAATGCACAGGGTGTTGCTTCTAAGTCTCCCAACATTGTAACTGTCAGCTGCACCTGGTGAAATGTCAGTTCAAGGAGGCACTTATCCCAGTTGTGTGTTCGAGGTTACTCGCTTGTAGGATTTTGCAGTAGAATTAACGGTGAATGACGGAGTGTCATTTTTGGTGAAATGTCAGTTCAAGGAGGCACTTAGCCCAGTTGTATGTTCGAGGTTACTCGCTTGCAGGATTTTGCCGTAGAATTAACGGTGACTGACGGAATGTCATTTGGTTTTTCCTAAATTGCTTATTTGTACCGGAAAAATTTCACCCGATAAGATGGAGGTTGAAGCCAAATGGCTGCCTTTTAGAATAAAATAAATTACCCCCGAACAGTTTTCATTATTTTAAGTGAATTTTCAAGGGAATTCTTTGTTTCATTAGGCCGAGAAGCACCGCGGGTCATGGAATGTTGCGTGAACTTGTGTCTTCATCTCTTTTAACACAGTATTCTTTGGCTGATTTTTCACGGTGTGATTTCCAGTCTGAGGACTTTCAGTTAATAAGACAGAGATGAAATGTCCAAAGGAGTTTTGCTGAGCCATACTGGAACCGAAAAACAATGTGCGAATGCGAGTCATTTTGTAGCACTGCGCTAAGGCAATACCTTCCAAGTACAAAAGCCAGATTGCCTGACCAATAAATCATATCTTTCTTGTATGTCGGAAGCTGTAACCACAAAAGTTCTTAGTGTAGGTTGAAAATAGGTAACGCCTCATCCGTGCTGATCTTAAACCACTTATGGAACACTAATTAACAAACGATAGAAATATCAGTGCTCAAATTTTCGCGATCTGTGTGAACGACCAAGTGGTAAGGAACAACGTACTGCCAAAGTTTGAGCATTATTTTGTAGGCAAGACTCCACAGAGTAGTCACAGCTATTCTCACCAGCAAACCACAGTGTATGAGCCTTCTTCTCTATTCATTCTGGGAACTTGTGCATCAATTAGGTCAGCCATTTTTGTGCGCCTGGCCAATACCTTGACCTTGCTATCTTTGTGAATTGCCACACTGCGGCAGGACTGGTGACTTTCTATGATCTCCATCCTAATGCGAAACAAAAGCCAAGAAAAGCGTAGCAATCCCTGCTCCATACAGACATTATTGTAAAACAGACACCTGCGCTAGAGACGGAATTCAAAATCAGCTTACCTGCAATATCCGGGGCTCATCGCATCTTTCAACTTTACGAACTTCTGTTGAATAGAGACAGGGATTTCTAGTCGCACTTGGAAGCAAACGGATTGAATTTCCCTCCTAAAAGTGGAAATATATAGAATGCCACTAATAGCGACATGATAATTTCACTAATAATTTTGTGTGACAGAGTCCAACAACAGGAATTAGCATTCTGTAATCTTCAAAACTGTTTGATCCTACATGAACTCATGTGCTCTCATGCGTTTCCCTAGTGTAATATTTGCGATCACCCACGTCAACCATAATGAATGCCGACTGCAGTTTCGATCCAACTTAGGTCAGAGATTCTTAGCATCTTATGTGCTAGAATATCACTTGGTTTCATGAAGCAGTGACAGAGACTATGGCTGTTTGCACAAACGTCTCGTAATGCAAGAGTAAACATACATCTTCCAGGCAATCGACATAAGTAGCTTGATGCACAACATCAGTATCGCCTCAGTTTTACTCTCTTGACTCACGTATAAGTCCTCGTTCAAACCGTTTTATTAACTGCTCAAAAAATTACAGAAAGACGTCGTTTTTTAGCATGCATTTTTCACAGTTCATTAGATAGTTCTCTGGCCTGGAGACTACCGCCTCAATGAGAGGAGATGCAAATGAGAGGACACTAGTCCAGTTAAGTCCTTCTAACTGATCACCCCGAAAAGGCTCCACGGCATGTCCTCAGCCAATGGTTGGATAAAAGAGTTTTGTACTGATCGGTGAAGGTTAACTTTACTGGTTTAGAGAACGAAATCCAAAGTCGGACTTTAATAGTTTATTGACTACTTGCAAACTAACAGTAGTTCGGCTAATAAATGAATCATATTACGTAACGACAGTGGCAAATGACATCTGCCATATGGCACTTTCCCCAACTAGCAAAAGTCAGTACTGTGCAAAAACAAAAAGTCACCGCATTTATCTTGTTGATTAGTATATCCTCCTCTGACGTAAACGACCGGACGTGTACTCACCAAGTAGTCTAATCGATCAAGCAGGTAAGATAAGCTTTCTGAAAAGGTGGATCCAAGCCGACAACGTGCCTGTATGCGTCGCACCCGGTTACGTATAGAAGTCTTGTCGACCCGCATCATTACTTGGCAAGCCACGAGATTGTGTAAACACGTGGTAAGCAAACGGTCTTCAGTATTTTGTAACATTTTTCTCTCTGTCGAACTCAACCCCGCAAAGCGCTCGAGTGACTCCACAGGAGCTTGATCTAAACCTGGTAGAATTCAAAGGAAATAGATAGGAATGAATCCACCCCAGTTCCAAAATCACTCTGGTTAACAGTTTTTTTACTGGTAGCAAACTTTTACGTGGAGATTCCGCAGAGAATCAGAATAATCCTGAAACATTCTGGAGCACATTCACCTACCTCACTACTGTTAGTAAAATACAACTTTCATTTTGCACCCCAACTCATCTGTAAAGCCGTCATTAGATAAGAAGCCTTTTTCACTATTATCTGCTTAGAACAAAGCTAGGAGTTCAAATTGAAACTGCATTCTTCTCACAACCTCCTTCGATAAAGCCAACCATTCCAATTTTAAGAAAATTATCCAAGTTCTTGGGCCCGTATATTATTGTTGTTGATTACAATCCCTTAATGCCTTCTTATTAGCGTGGAAAGACGCTTGATTACCTGGTGCGATTAACCAAGGCAGAAAAAGTCAACGAACATGCGAGCCAGCCGCTCTATTGATCACTGTCGCGTATAAGCGGTCAAAAGTGATACTATGAATACAAATCATCCATCAACTGTGAGTGAAAAACAACCAATCGAATATGTCTCAACGAAAGACGGTTATTCCATTGGCAGTTATGTAGTTCCTTTACGCTCGCAGCTGGTCCTCCTAATAATTATATAGTCCAAAGTTCCTTGTTTGTGGTATTATGTGTTTCAAATTCCACGACTAGAATAGGAGTACACGACAAAGTAAAGTGGTAACGCTATCAACTGCGCACTGACATTGTCTTCTGATCTAGGGACAAAACTTTTGCAAGCTTAATGGTAAGCTCGCTGGACAGATCAATGGCCGCTTGATCAAACACCAGTGAAATCACCCGAACTACCAATAGTTCGGCATACTGACAAACCCCATGAAGCCCGAGTTTTCATTACCTACCAGTTGGTAATATGCTTAAATACTGGTAGCTCAGGTGAATGTTTTGACTGTTGGTCAAATGCCACGTGATCAACAGCGGATGATCGGATAATTGGACACACATGCCCATTCTAAAAACTACTTTATCTTAAAGTTTGAGTTTAGCGACACCGAGGAATTTGAACAGAAATAAGCGAAACTATGTTAAAGATGCCCATTTTTCAAACAGTTAACTTGCATCACGAGCTTAAATTATCCAAGCTATTTCGCCAACTGGCTGTCTATCACTCGCAGAGACGTCTGGCTCATCAGCCTGATTCTCCATGGCGCTAAAAAGCGTAGGTTTAATCTGGCATGATACCTGGACCTTTCAATCGACTCACCCAATATATCTCTTTCTTGTGCGACCACGTCAAAGAACATGTCTTCCCAGAACTGCATGTGGTCCCACAGAAGAGAACGCTGCTTGTTTTTTATGAGCATTTCGTAAAGATAAGTGCGTGGTTGCATGGTATTGTCCGATGGGGAGCAGTTCTCCTGGACCAATTGTCCGTTCACGAAGAAGTACTTTTTTGTCGGGGTTGGACTTGCCACTGAGTTGGCAGTTACTAAAGCACAAACGTGGAAATATATTTTAAGAATAAAACGTCAAGGGAAAAAACACCGAAAACATGGTGATAAATTTTAGTTGCACAAATTTGCCAAAATGAGGATTAATATTTGCCTTCAAATATTTGGACATGTCATCTCATTCCCTGATTGGGGTACAAACTAGACTACAAAGCTTCAAAATCTAAAGGCGTAGAACTAAGCTCTCACTAACAGTACATTCAGTACGCCGATTGCGAGCTTTTTTACCCACTACCGTATGAGGTCATCTTTTTCCCACTGCAACATTAACTTAACAATTTAATCAAAGATTCGAAGCTTCGACAACTGGTTCCAAGTTGTCACTAACTTTTTTCTGAGATTCAGGCAAACCTGATAAGTAAGCATTAAGCCACACGTTCCCTGGTTGGACATCATTAGATGAATGTCAGCGGTAAGCCGAATAGTTTCTCAGACAGGGTGCTATTATGGAAAATTTTATAGCACGGCTAAGAGGTCAAGATCAAAACTCCTCGAGTCTGTTAGATATAACCCCTTCTTCAGCCATTTAATGTTTCATTCAAAGAACCATCACAGATTTTCTGGCAACTCTCCTCATTGGTCAAAAATGCTCCGTTTTAGGGTTGGGTTATTGGCGGATCCTAAAGTACCCAGCCAAGTAATAAGTTTCGTTTTATTCAAATTCCTTACGATTTCACTCCGATTGGTCAATCTCACGAATTTGCTTACATGCATCCATATGAGGATCCAGGCCCTTAGAGTAGTGAATATGTGTCCCACTTCTGAGGAACAACCGCGAGTAAAATGAAATGACTACTCATCAACAGCCAGGAGGTACTGCTTCATATGAATCTCAACAGAAAGAACACACTTTGGATATTCGTCTTTAGAGGTGTGACATCTTGGCCAACTGCGCTACGCTACATTTTTGGTAAAGATCCTGTCACAATCGTCAGTTCAGCGCAGGTCCTTAATCTTACAGGTGTATTTTGTCCCTCATTTGTGTCCCACCTAGATTCTTTCAGACTTTGTTCAAACCTAGGGATCTTAAATCTCAGAACCCGCATCAAATCGATACACTATTTATGATTGTATTAGCTTCCATAGACTTCTTAGCAAATTACGCATTGTTTGCTTCTGTTTAATGAGTATTTCACAAGCAAACTCTGCACTTAATACGAATCCCCTGAGGAGGCGCACCTACTGCCGGGATGTCTTCAGGTAGATAAAGTGAACTGAAGTAAGAGATGCGGAAAAATTGGACTAACCTTTTTCTTTAGACGCAGGGCTCCCAAAGACGTCGGCGGATACCAAGCTGTCTTGCGTATAACTGCTGGCGGAAGAAGTTCTCGTACGATTTTCGCCTGACTGTTCCTGAGAGGTCTGAACGGATGGTCTATTCACTCTAGGACTCTGCAGGTAAACATGCGCAACATATTGGGTCAGGTTTTGGGAAAATATTGTCGTTATCAATATTGGAATGGAAAGATGCATGCGTGGTTGGGCGGATCAGTTTCTTGAATATAAATTAGAAACCTCGCGATTTCTTAAACTATGAGGGGAAATTTCGTCACAGAAGATGTGAATTTGCTCCGATTAGGGTTACGTTGTGAAACTGAACAAAATAAAAATCCACTGAGTCGAGAGAAATGCGTTCCTCATTGAAGTCTACTGTCCCTGGTTAGATTGAATTAACTGTTTCATCAAGTCGAAATTGGTAGAGCCGATTCTTATCTGAGAATTTTCGTGTTTCCCTTTAGCAAAATTAACCTGACCAAATTGGACTGTTTGTTTCAAAAGACAATTACTGACTGGATCACTTTCAATATGTGACATGGCATGGTTTCCAAACTGTGAGCCATCATGCTTGACATCAATTGTTCAGGTCATTCCTCGTCTCGTAATTGCTCGTATGTAGTCTTCGGATAAATGGAGTAATCCCAGACCCCATGTATCCAAATTTGAAGCCGACAAAGTAGAATGGCCTACGGAAATAGTCCCCTTTAATACAACTCTAACCCTCTATAAACCTTCAAACAGAATGTGATGTTATCTGAAACATCGCCACCTCCTGTGGGTAGGTGCGGCACTGATGGTTTGAAAGCAATGAGCACTCACCAGGGACTTGCCAGAAAAACTGCATTAGGACAGGAGAACGACCGTTTAAATAAGAGTGATGTGAACGTGTATTCTAGAAATGCAGCAACAGCTTACAACTCTTACAACAGTTTTATTTCAAGCAAAGGAAACAGATCAAAAATTTCTCAGATCTGTACAGTTTGTTGGACAGACTGTGCAGTTTTAGCTTGCGCCTCAAATCAATGGAAGGATTGCTTTTCAATTTATTTGCGCACTTCCTTCTCCCGGTTAGACGGAGATGTGACAAATGCGTAGATTGTGCAGACAATGCAAACGTTGGTCTATTTCTTTCCAGACAAAATTATCACAAAGTGCAATTAGATGACCACGAAATCATGCAAATGATGCAGTTTTAAAGTGTTCAAGATCGAGCAAAGTTCCAAACCAACATATTACTCACTTCCAATCCGAACAGGGAGGAATAACCACCAAAATACACTTTCTGAATGTGCCAGACCTAATGTGGTTCGTTCCAAGATAAACTGGCGGAAGGACTTGAGAAATTTGCTATCTCAAGAAGAGGTGTTTAACTCTCCCTGATAGCGCCTAATCGGCTGGTGTATTCAACGTTCTCAGTTAACCAGTCGTGCCGGGAATGGAACATCCAGTTCAACGTGTTTCCTACTTTGTGTACTCGCTGCTCAAATTAATGCGGGACATGCGCGTCTACGGGTTCAAACCCCCTGGTCATGAACACAGTTTGTTTCCAACCAATGCGCTCTTGAGATGAAACAGAAAAGGCTGACATCATCATCATCAGTGTCAGCTGTCATAACCACGTACTCGTCGTACAGCGGTTTTAGCTGCCGCAGTTTCGTTCACCGAGGATATGCGGGGAGGTGTAGGTAGCTGCGCATTGCAGACGGGAGCTGATAAATTGGTGCATAAATCCAGCACTGTCAGTGGGCTGTCAAGTGAAGGGGATTGGAAAAGGAGCTATGCATTGAAGGCAATAGCTTGGATGCACGAGCGCCATTGAGGGCGCGACTGGGCCATATCTGACAATGTCTCTAGCCATTGATGTGGCCCGTCTCGGGGTCCCCATCCAGGAAGACGGCAGTGACCAGCGCAGCTGAGTATGCTGGTAATGGCTTTCATACTTCGCTGCCAAGTCGTTGTTTGACCGCCTCTGGCTCTCTTCCATCCTTTACGTGGTTGTTCGAAAGGAGCCCTTCGAGGAAGTCGGTCGACTGGCATACGCAACACATGGCCAAGCCAGCGCAACCTGTGCAGTGTGATCAGTACATCTATTGAGGGTGAGTTATTTCTCCAGAAGGGTGCAGCTCATTCATTTTGAAGCTTATGTGATGCTTGTAGCAAATGAGCACGCAAAGCTGCCGTTCGGAATTAAAATTGTTTAGAAAGCGTGTGCCAATTGATTGGTCACGCACGTTGAATGCCGTTGTGGTTTATATTAGGATATGATTGTGTTTATAATCATGAATAAGGTTATTAACCGGGAGTTCATGCTGTAAAGTTGGATGAGAGGAATGAGTCAGATTACCCGGGAAAAAGCTTTACGCAACCAAAGGTAAATTTCTGGCGTTACAATTTGTGGCGGGGCTGGAATGGCACTTCAAAAACGTGGAAAAGTTAAACAAACCGTATGACATGCTTTGTCGAATACCAATTACCATGTGCTTTCTGCCTAAAAGCCAACTGGTGAATCAATTTATAATCCCGAGAGTTATGCCTTGGTAACCGTATCACATGGCAATAGTTCTTCTCACACACTCCGATGAATACAGAGAAAAATATAGGGGGACACTTCAATTGAAAATCGCGAGACACGTACGTCATAATTAGTCTGGGATTGCAACACAACTTGAGACTTTGCCTAAAATGAAATTAACAGGAAAGGTGACCAGTCAAAACTGTTTTACTGTGGAAGATCTAGGAATTAAAAGTTTGTTTTAGATCTTCTGAAATAAGGAAGAATCCGACTTTCCGATACTCCAGGACATTACGCAGCAGTGAATGCTCTGGACAACACTCTATGAGCACATCAAACCCAAGCTACAGATTTGCACGGGCTTCTGGCAAGTTGCGTATGAAGCCAAGAGCTAGTTTAGCACTATATTTTCAACGAATGGAAATACCATGGATAATTATACTGCATAAATGCAAAGGAAACAGCCGAAGAAGTTGCCCCTTGGAGAACACCAGTACCTACAATACATGAGCTTATATACAATCCTGAATGATATCTGACGTGTAAAAAGATCTTGAGACCCCCCGGAGCTAACCTCACTGCAATGTTTACAGATAATAAGCAAAAGCGCTCTTGTTTATAACAAAAGGCACTGGTGCAGTCCAGAAACAGCCACCGAGCGACTGTATTATAACGGTCAAGTGAAGGAGCTACAACGCTAACTGAGTAGGCGAACGCATTCAGAGTTCTAAAAAAAACGACCTCCGACTGGTAAAAGGATAAAAGCCCTTAGGTAATTGAGGGTTGAAAACACTACCAAACGGTACAAAAGTAATTTGAGCTGAATTATTGACAGGATATCCCGTTTTTGGCCTTAATCTGAGTACGTTTATTGTACGTGGCATAAAGTATAACGCTCTTTATTTGGCTAAACTCCTTCACTGTCGACTGTCATTGAGGACTTTAAAGGACCACTGATGTTATTTGTCTGCCTTGGAGCAGCACGTCTATTGTTGCATTCTAAACCGTAGTCGAACGAACCCAGCGTTGGTTGCATTCACACTTGATTTCTCTCCACATGCGACATATTTAGGACTTCTCTCACAGTTCAATCAACGGAGCCCAAGTTAACTAGCCTAAACTTTATGTTCAAAAAAAATTCATGCGGTTAGTGAAACCGCGTTAACTTCACAATTTTTGTTGGCTTCTAGAAAATCATGAGTTGATCTTTTACCGCTAAATTTCATTCTGACTGAGTGTCAGTAAGCTCAGATCCCTGAAGATAAGGGCAGTATACCCGACCTACTGAGACGGAAATTCCACCAAAATATCATAAGGGAAGCCCAACAAAGAGACAAAATAAAGGTACAGCACAATGGTAAAAATCCATTTTCTTAAGACGGCAGTTCCAACAAGCTGGATTTGATACATGAAATCCTTACAAGATGGTTAAATTTTTGAATTTTTAATTTAATTTAACTAACCACATTGCAGTCAACAAAATTAACCAAACGCACTTTTTTGTTGCCTTTGAATCACCTCACCATCTTTTGGGTCGTTTGCACTTTGGTTCAAAGTCTATATGGTATACACTAAAAAAACTACAGAAAAATAATCACCTTTTCATGTTCATCTGCGATGAGCTCATTTTCGTTTGCAGAAAATAGACGGTTGGCCCGAGAAAAGAGTCCGGTCACACGGCCAGTCAGCTTATCACCTAGACCTTGATCTGAAAGAAATAGAAAGGCTTTGTCCAATTTTGCACGATTTTTTTGGAATAATGCATCTTGAGCAAGGCCAAGTTGTGTGCTCACCTTTATTTTTTGGTCGCAATTCCTTTGCCGTTGTCCGGAACCAACCGGCTGAATAAAAGGGGAAATCAGTTAAAATTGACTATTAGCGAGGAATTAAATTTACTGGATAGGCTCAATAGGCTGGTAAACTACGATAGGCGATACAATGAGAGTAAAAGCTCCATAGTTCAGACAGTATAGATCAATAAAGTATAAATCGAACGGTAGGACAAGGGGGAGGAACTTGTGCGACGATACGCAGACAGGAGACACCTAGAAGCAAAAGCGACAACCGGATTTTTACTGTAGGGTTGGGCGGGAGTGAGATGGAATTCAAACATCAAGAATGTAAGGAGGAGCACAGTTTTCAAAGAGTTTTCAGAAGCTTGTCAGTATTGTCCCTCCAAGAAATCATACTGCGATATTTCGAATGTTTTGCCAGGTGTTTTTAGCAGCTGAAAGCAGCAGTGGTAGAATATCACAAGATTCAAATAAAGAAGCGCGACCAGTTCGCCCGAATAAGCAGTGGCGCGTTCTTCGCTGGGAAAAATGGATTTGCGGAAAACCATGATGGTTCACACAAACCATCCTAAAATTACTGCTCAGGAACACTTCATCTTAAGAAATTTATACCAACATGACAAATGAAACAGATGTATCGATAGGTTGGGCATTCTACCGCTTAGCAAACCATCATCTGAAATCAGGTGGTAATTTCCCCTAGAAAGAATATCACAAGATTCAAATAAAGAAGCGCGATCAGTTCGCACGAATAAGCAGTGGCGCGTTCTTCGCTGGGAAAAATGGATTTGCGGAAAACCATGATGGTTCACACAAACCATCTTAAAATTACTGCTCAGGAACACTTCATCTTAAGAAATTTAAACCAACATGACAAATGAAACAGATGTATCGATAGGTTGGGCATTCTACCGCTTAGCAAACCATCATCTGAAATCAGGTGGTAATTTCCCCTAGAATAGGTTTTATACAACCCATGTTGGCTGATCTGGGGAACCAAATTTTCCTAGAATTAAACAGCATTGTAATAGTTATTCGTTTTCACAGTGACTGTATTTTTGTATATGGCCGAACAGAAAAAACTCCCAGAGTTCAAGGAAATCCTCCTAGGTGTCAGTAGCACGTTTGGTGCGGGTTGGTGCATTCGATCCTGAAAACCTCTTCCATTTCAGCTGTTCATGAAGCGGATGGCTGTGCTGTGCCTGGTGCACTAGTACTCGCCCCCGGGACCCATTATGTTACCGTATAAAATCCGACTTAACAAGACCTCACATATACAGAATAAGGCAGTGGCACAAGGGTATTCTTAACCAAAAAGTACACTACTGAGCTCCTCAAAGTATTTTGAAAATGCCGCAAAAATAAGTACACTAGCACCCGTACTGAATGTCACATGATCCGCAAAATTTCATTACGCAGTTAGATGTTGTTAAAACATGCTCCTTTTCAACTACGAATGTACGTGATTCGCGCTTCTGGTCGGTCTTTTTGATGATTCTTCTGAAATCTGTTTATTTTATTTTGGTCCCAGCAGGCAGATCAAATGCATATGCACGTTTTCAGCTATGCGGATCCCCTGCGAACCTGTGGGATGAACGTAAGAGTTGTATAAAATGCATTTAGTTTCCTAATCAAGCATTGGATTGCGAAGACATTTTGCGGTTCCCATCTCTCTACAGTCACTGATACGGACCTGTGAGAATGGCCGCTTATTTGGAATGATTTGCAGCTTTTTAGTGCTGTATGTCGGTAATTTCCTCGTGAACTGAAGTTCGAGATCCATATACAAGGTAATATTCTACTTTTCAACCAAAATTCTCAAGCTATTTGAGATGATTTAAGCTTTCGGAAATCTAAACAGCATTGGGTGAGAGCAGACCTCAAGAGGATTTCTCGCAGTGGTGGTCTTCACCAAGTTATATTGCGCGATCTCGTTCAATGGGAACCGACATAAGGGGAAACCTGCCGAGCGTACCCATGTGCTGGTAACCCCTTAGGGCATCATTTCAGACAGACTTTTTTCTCTGGGACTGTTTGTTGGAGGGAACGTCTAAACCTAAGGAGACCCCATGGTGACCAGCATTTGGTTTTGAGGAGAAAAATATGAGAAAATAGTGCGGGTTCCCCAAAGAACCAAGCATAGAGATTTTATAGAGGTTCTTCACTAGCAGAGAATGGTGCTAATATTGCAGTGGTTTCTAGCAGAAGCCAGCTGACGCAAATAATATGTATCTGCTGACTATGACCCGATCTGTTTGCTGTGAGTTGACCTTCAAGAAGATATTCTCAAATTCGGAAACACAGGATAAAGTGAGGACAACAGCCACAAGTGCAACTCACTGAGCGCATTAACCAGATTATCGTCACCTTCTCCAACTGATCCTCTAGTTGCATTCGTCTCCTTCTGAAAATCAGATCATACACCCATTTTAAAGATGCTTTTAAATTGCTTTCGCTAAAAATTAACGCATCCAGCAACCCGAAATTCCCCAATACATAAACCCAGCTGAAATTAAACAAAGAGAACTTTCAGAATGGAACTGAGCACACATGACGCGTTTTTCCTAGTCAGTTGTAGAATTCCGTTTTCTACACCTTCTTCTTGCTGACTTGGGGCTTCGTTTCTGAAGCAACGCAAACAATCTTGCTATTCCAATATATGGCGTTGTCGGAAAAATGTTTCGAAGTTTTCAGCTAGCCAAAAAGCTTCTGTAGCTTCTTCACTCAGGTTATAAAAATTTACCACAGGCTAGACAAGAATGTACATTCTGTGGAACCATAAAAGTTTGCAAAATACATTCACCTTTTTTTCGATTTCAGCGGTTTGGCGACGCTTCGGATGCTGTTCGAGGTAATGTGTGTGACAAACTTCCAACATCAACATTGCACTAGCCAAACCACCAATCCCGTGATTGGTACAAGTGGCCTCAAGACCACGGACCATGCAGTGAAGCACCGAAACGAACGTATCGAATACATTCTGGTTTTGCACTTCCTGAAACAAAGAACAATAAGCGGCCGTCAGAAAACGTTGTCACTTAAGGATGAAGTTATGCTCCATTATCCAAGAGCTGACAGATTCTTACTCACCACGTCTTTCAGACCAGCTCCGGGATCGACTATCTGTTGATCTAAGCCGAAATTTAGCTTGGACATCAGGTAACTCCGATAGTTTTCATCACTCAAAAGTTCACGCAGGCGTTCTTTGGTTGTGCTGCTCAAGCTGCGGCCACCAACAACCCAAGCGACAACATCGCGCAGAAAGGCTTGGTCGCCTGAACTGCAGAGCATGAATGAAAGTGGACAAATATGTAAATAAACAACAAACCCAGCATTCCACAATGCTGTATTCACCTACCCATCAGTTGGAACATAAACTAGGAGGCGAAGTTCAGTATGAAACGCATGCAGCAAGAAAAAGGACCACGAGGGATGTAAGTACTTATGTAACTTTTGCTTCATGATAAACGTTGCTTTATACTTTGCAGAATTGTTGAGCACGCGCTAAACCTGGCTGCTACAATAAAATGCCCCCGAACCACCCTACTTGTCTCCTATTAGTAGTTCAATTTTTTTCGATTTCTAGAGACAGCCCAAAACTTGATCCGCCTTTCACTAGCTACATACACGTGGAAGAACTAAAACATAACTTACTTTTGCTCTGGTGTTTTATGAGGCAATCCAAGAGGACGAATTTGATGTAAATCAGAACCCAGTCGGTTTGGAGACCTGGAGTCCGATGGTGGCGTGTTGGCACCTGGCAGGTCGCTTGTTTTGGATGAGGACTCTGATTTAAGCTCGGTGACCACAGTGCGTGCAAAACGCTTCGGTGTTCCTGGATTAAAATGGAAAATTCATACTTAACGAAAAAGGCACAAACCTGAAAATGATCATCGCCATTCACGGTACTATATGCGTTAATCTTTTCAAACATTGACTAACAAAGGTAACCGCGGTAACTGTGTCATCAGAATTGATCGGGTATCCACATTCCTTTGTCGGGGAAGTCAGGTGCGAATCGGGAAATTACGTTAGATAGTTGTGATCTTACATACAGAACCGCAAGTGCAAAGTTTTACGGAATGACAAAAAAACTCACGCAAGAGCCCTGTGATTGTGGAAGATGCTTGACTTGCAGCATCTGCAAGATTCTCGGTCAGGTTATTCAACAAAATTTTCCCCACTGACTCTTCTTCTAACTCCTCGTCATCGTCTTCTTCGACTTCCGTGGATTTCGCGTCTTGTGAACCGTCAACTGTCATGGACTCTTTGGCAGTTTGCAATTGTTTGTTGACCTCCGCCTTGTTTGCACCAACACCAAACAAGTTGGTCCCGATTTTTTTCAGCCCCTTCAACTTTCCACGGGCAGAAAACTCTTCTTCCCTCTGAACGGTATCTGAAAACAAACAGATGTTGGCAATACATTTAAGGCACCAACTACTGGGAATAAATCCTGACACGAAATTGTACTCAATCAGAAACTCTGTTTGATTTTACTTATAACCGCCTCTTGTGCACCATCAAAAACAAACGCTTTTCTAGTTCCATCTCATCTTGTCGTAGACAACTCTGTGTTAAACAGCCCCCTATCGGTAACAACGGAAAGTTTTGAATTTGACTTTATTATTGACTATTATTATTGACTATTACTTGGGCAGTAGCAGTTTTCCGGTCAGTGCTGTATGTTGCACAATGCAGTGAGTTCGCTTAAAGTTGCTTAAAGTGTCATGAGACCAGAACGAACAAATCTGTTGTCGCTTCTCCAGTAAACTGTAAATGAGACTAAACGCACATTGAAAAGCCGAGCAGCACCACATAGCTAATTCATCCTTATTGGGAAGTATCAGTGAAGTGCGTCTCACGAAACTCAAGGGAGTTTGACATATCACATCTAGATTCATCCTTTTGTTGTAGAACCTTACTCAAATTGGACCCGAAATGTCTAAGATATAGAAATGGATTCCTTCCCTATTATGTACGAAATTACACGGATAGGCATACATACGGGTCAACGGGCCGCAAGCAGAGAGTTCAGAATCACATGGCACCATGCTACAAAATTGTTACGCTACCTTCGCATATTCATTGTTCATTGCGCATCCTAACCCTATATTTAGTCTAGGAGGGTGCCCACATCATATCGTGATGGCTTACAAACTATTTTGAAATATTCCACTCTAATATATCTTTTAATAACAATGTGGTCCAGGAAACCTCAGATTGTTTCGAACTAAGGCATGTTTAATGTGCTCAAAAACCTATAGAAAACAAGTGAGTAGGGTACGACGTTCGTTTTCTGTTCTTCATCGGAAGAACTGGCGACTTCCAGATACTTAACCACCAGTTAAGTTCACCAGTTAAGTTCTATTGGAAAATTGCCTATTGTACTCCTTTTCATATCAGATAATTATCTTGCACATCATTAGCTAAAGGCCACAAAACCGGTCAGTTTAAGAGAAATTCTAGTGGTTCACTTAAATTGACTGCCTCTTTGTTCTGCAAACTAATTATGCAGACACGTTTTTGCATGATAAATTCACAGCCTTCTCATTTGACTGCTGGGGCGCTTTCGTGAACCTTTACTCAAATAATTTGCCAAACAATTGTAATGTTTGCTTGTTCTGTTGATGTCCGTGTGCGATCGTTTTCTGGTTTCAGGAGAACCTCAGTCAGCCCGTTTTTGTTTGTCTGAGTTGAACAATCTCCATTCGTAGGCCGAGTGCTATGAGCTTGTGTGATAAACGGAAAGCCTAAGGCAGTCCGTGAATAGAACCTATACACAGTCTACGGAAGCTGTAACTACCCGCGGGCGATTTTTAAATTTTGGGTATAGTGCCAATTATGACGCCGACCATTATCATCGTTGTCGCAAATAATTGGTTTATTTGCTCATAGAATCTTCAGAATTGCAATTCAAAGCCAACTCAGACAATCAGCATTGAGTCTGAAAGTTGTGGCCAGTTAGCAAGTGTTTGATTGATTGCTTCACTCATGTGCGTCACGACGAATACGATCAACAATGCATTTTTCGTAGTCTGTCTGAGCATGATGTGAACAACTCAGCAGTACAGACCATCTTTTTATCAATATATAAGCTCGTTATTTCTTGTGTCATACAGGTGGTTCGATTGCAATGCACGAAGTTGTAGAATACTGTATAAAGCGGCTGCTAATACCAATTCTATTTCCATGAAAAAATAGTAACAAAGAAACAGATCGGATACGGTGATTTTGTTTGATGTGTTTGATAAGCAGAACAGAACGACGATCGTTCTACCTGGCCGAAATCGGACGTACTCACAGGCGTGCAAGTGTAACGTTTACCCATCTAAAATCATTGTGTCACTGAGTTGCGTACCACATCGTGACTTCTTTTAGCCGAGCTATTCTCATCACTGGTTTCGAAGAGTTCGTTTTGGTGTCAGTCACATAAACCGTACGTCTATTATATCACTGTAGAAAGATCAATTCGTAAAGCAATTCTGTATGACGGCAGCTAAACTGCATACACCAAAATCCGTAAAATTTAGTATTTCAGAGTGTTGAAGCGTTCGAGAGTTTATTTTCATGCGCTTCCCTGCCACCAGGATGACTTGCCAATGTGCGCATGAAGCGCAAAAAATGCTAAAATATAGATGTAATGCACCACTTATCCGGTTTCTAAACACTCTTTGACATAAAACGGCCTGGTACATCGTGTTGAGGTGCTTAAAAAGATCACAAACGAAAGATTCCACTGGAACCCAGCTGTGAACGGGGAAGATTTCAAGAATCTGATAAGTGTAACGGTTTGCCTATATGATAACTAACGCTGGCAAGCATGCTGCCTTAGAACGTCCCTGTTATTCACACACTGAGTTTGACACTTTGTTTCGCAGAATAAAGTAACCCCTTGTCAATGGATTTTGAATGTAGCTCTATTCTGTCGCTGCTCTGTTGGATAGCGTGACACAGCAATTAGTATATTCATCTTCGTCCTTCATCCCACCATATTTCAGTGCATTTCCAAACCCTTTACTTAGCACGATCATCTTTAATTTAGCGATATAAAAAGGGCACATTTCAATGCTGTCAATCTGACGCACTCATGAGTGTGGAATGATTCCAGCTGTAAGAAATTTGGGCATGTTATGGGTTTTTCGACTCATATTATGACATAATTATGGCACAAACACTTATTTTTCTTGGTTGATCCCATATTTTATATTGAGAGCTGAACAGAGATACTGCATAGAACTGTGAACCACAAGAGACGGAGTGTAGGATAATGCCGACACGCTTATTTTCTGTGTATAAGAGAAAATAGCATGTGACGTTTTCTTAGATTTCACCAGAATGTTTTCACTCTACTTTTCACCACTGGGAGTCAAAATCCTACTTCAGAATAAGCACCAAAACCACCTATTTATTTTCTACATCCTTTTGCTCGGCTATTCCACTGAGCCGTGGGTTAAGGGTACGTGCGCAGGCGATTCCCTCCAGATTTAGTGAGGCTAAACCAATGTACGATTCTTCGCGAATAGCGCATAGTGCAAAGAATCGGTTTTCACCCGGTTTATGACAGACCGGTTATCACTGCCACCTAATAAATGGAAGTTCAGCACAGATCAGTACGTCCAGAGTGTACGGAAAACTGTGAAAAATAGCGTCGTGATACTGCAGTGCAGTCAGCCAATTTACTATGGATAATTATATACTGATTTTTTCGTTAAACATGATTGCATATATGACATACTTATACAACTAGCCGTGATGATGACTCCATTTCTTAGGACGATAGGTTAGACAAATGGAGCCAAAGGACCGCCCGATAGGATCACCGGTGACTGTCAGAGACATATGGAGTCAGAACGTGGATAAATCTCTCTAAAAGTACAACAGCACACTAAATGTACTTCCATTTAGAGTTAGGCCTTCATGCAGTTGTTCCCAGGGTCTCAGGTTACGATAACCATCTACTGCAAATTAATCAAACGTCAGGGTCATTAAATCGGAGTTCAGCCACAAGAAGACCTCAGCACTAGTTGTTCCGCAGACTAAAATTTCAAGATAAAGCCTCAATATGTTTCCATTTAGTTCCGTTTCCTGTGTGGTGTAGATGACCGATACTTGTTGCAGTTGATAACTTTTAGGAAACCGAAGCAGAATTTCTAAAATAGTTAAGGTTCATATATACCTCAACACGCCTATTCTAGAATGCACGCGCCACATCATCAAACTGATAGCAGCAAGCACTTAAATAGATGGATGTGTGATGTACGTAGTACTATCGTTTTTAATAAGAGTGCTAAAATTCCTGGTAGCATACGAGAATCTCCTATGGTCACACTACCGAAAATCAAGAGCAGAGATCAGTTGACATCACTGTTAGTTCCTGCACAATACAGTTTTGGAATAATTCGATATCTGTGAACAACCAGTATTGCACTGCCAGGATAATAACCAGTAATACAGTACTCTAGAGTCACATATCACATGATTTTGAAAATGCCAGCTTACGCCATGACAGGATGCTTTCCAGAGTTCAAGCAAGATCTTCCGACTAACGAATATCAGCATTAGGATTCTGGCTAAAGCCATGAACACCCGGTCTGGTCAAAGTTTCTAAGAGATTGCTCACTCAGATGCTAGTCGGTAAGCGATCTACCATACAGGTAAGAGATGACTAAACGCATCCATAAAAACAAAATGCTTATCCAACATGAACTTTAATCACAGAAAGACAGCATTTTGTCACCTAAAGACAATCGTGACCAAACGAACGGTGAGCACATATTCTAAATCGTTACTAGCTGCAGAGAGTGGCTTATAATGAAATATTGCACATTTTTGGGCTAGTATCTCACTCGCTTCTAGTTATTCTCTATGGCGAAACACTTATCCGCAGTCGTGAAAACTAAAATCTCCATGCGAATGACTAGAACTTATTATGAACTGCTCACTTTATACCTGTCATCATGAAGCACATGTTGGAAGCTGACGGACAGTAACAAATCTGTAGTGGTAACTCAAATCACACTGGAACCAGTGAACTCATGCGTAAGTCTTAAAAACGTAAAAACATCTATGTTCTATAGCAAACGAAGTAGTTAATTTTCACATTCTGATGTCAAGTGCACCCGTTTCTTTTTACGCGGAAAAGTCTCAAATTACCACATCTCTTTACACGCTGGCAGCTGACCGGAAACGAACGTTCATTTTTCCTTAACATTGGGATGGGCCAAGTCCAACTAACTCTTTTCGAAATCCAAAGTTGCATAGAGACTAAAATGACCACATCTCCATTTTCGCAGTTTTCTCTAAAGTTTGGGAACGAATATGATATTCGACCGCAGCAAACTCTTTAACTGGTTAAACGAAAATGTACCGACTGACTGGTTCATATCGTCCAAACATCCAGATTTTCGAGAAAACCACGAGATACCCACAGGAGCATCTTGTTTCTTGTCCAAGCTGGTGGAGCGTTTTGTCATATATCAACTTACACCAATGGGCAAACCTCGGGGCAGAGTAAGTTGGTTAATGGGCTTGTTGTGCCCGTCTTATCAGTGCGATCCTTGTTGCCGGCAACTCCTGTCGGCAATTTAATGAGAGATCACCTTTTTCCGGTTCAAGGTCCTTTGCCTAAGCCCAGAATTTATCCATTATGTCCATTGATTGACGTACACGCATGAGGTTTTAGTTTAATCCCACCCACACTATTCGGCAATTTAATGAGAGATCACCTTTTTCTGGTTCAAGGTCCTTTGCTTAAGCCCAGAATTTATCCATTATGACCATTGATTGACGTACACGCATGAGATTTTAGTTTAATCCCACCCACACTACAACAGCACCCAGACTTTGCAGGTATTGTACGTATGCACGTGAAACACTGCCCGGGAATTTCCCGGATTACTGAAACGGATTTTAACCAATAATCGGGGGGAATTATTAACCTACTTTCCTGAGTCTATATTGATCTGATAAGGTTTTCCCGATGTAAGTAAAAGCGCTGAGTTACCCTCACCAGAAACGGAAAGCCAAAACCTGACTACAAAGACAGGTGGAGAAACCCAAATATCCCATTGGCTTCGTGAAGTGTCAGCGTTTTCCGGCCTCAGGCGTTTCACACAATGTATCAAACTTCCCCTCCCAGTACCACATATGAATTCAAAAAAAAGACACTGTTCTAAGCTGATTACTTGAGTAAGAAAGACTAGGGTTTCTCAGTAGGTACCGTAATCTAAAAAACAATGATGACAAAACGCTAGGGTTAAAACTTTATTTTCCCGACAGCCAAATATAATGGCTATTGAATCGAGTAGTTTGGAGCTGTTCTTAACACCCCAACCTGCGCAGAATCATTCTTCCTAAAAATATCTGGAAGGCATAAGATGGAGTTTTTGTGACCGTAAATCGGAATACTGCAAACAAATCGCTTCCTGAGCGAGAGATATTGGCTTCCCGTTAGTATTCTCCTTTTACTGGCCCAGCTTAAAATAAAACGAAGAGAATGTTTCCGTAGTTTTGACACTACATGCAAAACGCACCTATCGGTAGCTCGACTTGCACCTCCTACTGGCGTGTTGTGCCTCAGTTTACGAACTGCGATATTAATTACGACAGAAGGGAAGAATACTGATCGAATAAGTAGCCCAGGAATTGTGGTTAGGTTATGACGTCAAGTCATCTGGTACTCTTCGCGAGTCGAACACTTTGATACTTCAAAATACTACGAAGAAAAACAAGCAGTGTTTTTTACAGAAACTTCAGCAACACAAGGAGCTCTAGCCGAACTTGGTTGTTTCAATTTTCGCTTTGGCGGGGAACTAATGCTTAGATTTTTAACGTTCCTTGTATTGCGACCAGAGATGAACGCAGAGCGGCAACGATTAAGCACCTAATTCTCATTGCAAGCGCACCAGTCGTGAAAAAACAGAGTGTGGTATGTTGTCTAAGACCTTTCCTCAACCCCAAGTTTTGTTTCGCTAAACCTACGATGACTACGTAGGCCACAGCTCACAACTGTATCGCCACCAGAAAACGAAGAGCATTAAAAGACGCTGACAACCAGTGGTACAACAGAAATGCTACGTTTAGACGCATAATTCACAACCAAGTTTACAATAAAAAGAATCTCTCCTCAAGTTGGTTGATACGGTAGGTTAGACAAGTTTGTTAAGATTTGGTTGGCACCAGTAACTCAATCTTTATTTAGAAAGAACATAAACGACCTCGTACAACATTATTTGTTTTTTAGGTGTTTTTATGTTTTTATGTGTTCGTGGGTGTCTACCGTTTTACAGCCAGAGGAGCAACTAGCAGACAGTGGGCATTTATCGCAGCTTGAGATACAGCAACTCCACTTGTTTACAGCTCGAATCATCAGTTTTAGAGAAGGATGGAAGAGTGGACGAAAAAACAAATCAGGTTTGCAATACCATGCCTCGGAATTCGATTTCTATGGTCATCCGATTACGTCCTACATGATCATCAAACGGATAGGTCTGTTCATTTTCTGTCGAGCCTGTATCTGCCTACGTATGTCTCTATGTTGCAATTACAGCCGTCGCACTCGAGGATCACAGTGGTTATTGGGTCAAGACTCGGTGATAAGACGGCCGAGAAGTAACCATCATCTAGGAAAGCCCATCATAAAGAGATGGTCAGCTTCTGATCACACTTTGTGCCTGTTAGAGTAAGAAACAAGGTAAGCAAGAATACTTCAACATTCACGATGATCTAATTCTGGACACCCTGAACAAATTTTCCCCACAATTTAGGCAAAAAATGTGCATTAAATAACTCAGATGAATTCTCCGGCTTATATTCTAAAAAGCCTGAACTGCTCGGTGGTAAACAGTACCGATAAAATTATCGGAGATTTCGTATCTGGTTGTGCAGGTGGGTAGCAGGTAGTCCTTAGTTGCAGATAGAGAGATAAGCAATTTTAGCTGTATGAAAAGGTAGAGTTTGATCTCTAGAGCAGTATGCATGGGATTGCTAGATTCCGCAGTAAGGCCGACCGACATCCAGTGTTCGAATTTGCTTGGAAAACATTAGATCCCTTTTCATATAAGATACTCAATTTTTCAAGAAAAACGGTTCAGTCATGAACGTACCGGTTCTTCGGGAGGAACTTCTCATTACCTGTCCGTTGACACTTGAAGAGGACTTATCTGCATCCTCTGTGATTCTTGAAGACAGACGACTCCTGCTATTCAAAATAGGAAAATAAAGCTGCAGAAACGTCTATCCTATGAAATTTTTCTGAGTGCACCATGATATACCGTACGGGGTTATGCCAAAATATATGACAATAAGATTATATATGACTATATATATGGAAATATATGTATGACTATTTATGTGACTAAATATTTGGCCATATATCGAATAGGATACTATATCATTGCACGTCATAACGTATAATTCAGGATAATAATTAATAGTTATCACATAGACCTTTTCTAAGGAGAACATACGAGATAAAGGGGTAAACGTCCAACAAGAGGAGTACCGGAGTCAAAAAAATATCCCAGCAACTTGACATCATCATCATCTTATGCTGCTGAGGAGAGTGCGCTATTCATAAACACTATTACTACTGTAAAATAGCCAGGCCGTCTACGGCTGAAGGTGGTTAACTTAATCCACTTTGACTGTTTGCTTAGACATAGCGGAGCCTTTTGAGTCAAGCAGCAGAGTAAACCCATGTAAAGGAGAATATTTTTGTTGTTTTATTGTTTGTACCACTTTGCTACAATGTGAACTGTCCAGCTAGCTCATGACACCTTCTTCCGCTTACTTATCTGTCTGTCTTTTTGTCAGCCGGCCACCTGAATCACGCCATTTGTATGTCAGCCTAGCAAACAGTTGGGGCTAGCTAACCGATCAGTTGGGTTCGATATTACTTGTGAATTATGGTGGTGGCTGTATAAACTGGAAATGACACCTACCTCGAACTGCCGGTTGCCGGTTCATTGATGGGCTGAAAACAAACGGGAATACGTAGTTATGCGTTGCAATACCAGCCTTGCGCCTTAAATGCAGGTTTTTGTTTGAAACATAAGAGCACTGTCACAACGAATGGGCGACAGCTAAATGCGTTTCCACAGAATAAATTTTATAACTCAAACCATTCTTGTCGATCTTTATCGCAAGGAAACTTGCTTTATGTTCTACGCTTGCCTGAAGTTGATGTGACGGTGTCTAAAAGTGTGTAGAACCGACTAATTGGGTTCCGATCATCCCACAGATGGATGCTTCGGGAATGTTTCAAAATTTTACTTTCCGAGAATACAACCCCTGTATCTCAGGTGGAAACTCTGACGCAATCATTCACTTCTTATTACAATTATATTGGTAATGAGGACTGTGTAAAAGGTGGAAACTCTGACGCAATCATTCACTTTCTATTACAACTAAATTGGTTATGAGAACTGTGTACGGGTGATTTGCATACTGAAATAATTCGACGGGTTAATCTTTTAATTGGCGCATAACTGCTGAATCAGCCATCATGTTTGGAATTCCTTTGCATGGGGTGCTTTATGTCAGTCACTGGTACACTGCTGTAGTTGACAGAACATGCTCGAAACTTTCATCGCTTTTGGTTATGAGTAATAAATATTGTATATGGGCATTACGAAATTCCGGTGGGTGGTGAAACCAACTAGAATGGCTTTATACTCACTTTTTTGTCGCTTTCGTTATCCTTTTTTTCTTCATCATCCATTTTACCGGTTTGAACATCCTGTTTCAAATCCCAAATATCGGTGTCGTCCTAAAAATTTTGCAATAAAGCGTGGATAAAAAAGGAATATATGAAAAGTCTCTAAAACTTGACGTAATCTACAAAGATATTCTGGTTATATATGTGCGGTAAACGTTCCTACTTCGAAATTCCTATGAAGATATGCCCCACACGTTGCAAGGTTTCCACACTCCACTGTGAGCCCAAAATGTACCACATCTTGTTCCATCTCACCGGCACGCTTGGTCAATTTATCATGTTCTGGGTGGGTTTTAAATGTTGCTAATTTTGGGGGTATCATCTGAATTTAAATTGTCAAAATTTACCTGAAACTAGCGGACTGTTTTGGCTTCATTCAATTTTGACGGCTCACAGAAAGACGGACTGTTGACCGGGAGATTATTCAGACAAACAACCAACGGGAAAGAAACTCTGACTGAAGCTTTATCATAGAGTGATCAGAGCCAAACTCCAAATGCCGTACGGGTTTTTTGACTGCGTCCGTGACTTTCGAATTCAAACGCACTCGGATTGCGGAAACCTTCAAAGGATACCTCTAACAAATCTTTGCTAGGGTTTGGTGCTTCATGCCATATAAAATAGTTAAAAACGCGACTATCATGCAACAAGAAAAAGCAAAACTGATTCTGCTTTTAAATACGTGGATTCCGTCAAAACGTGGCGCACCCGTTTCCTTTCCATGTCACGTTTGTAGTATTTTGAGATCCCAGGCAATTCAATTTATTCAGCATTCAGCAACCGTTGGAACTACCAAAGAATCAGTAACGGTTGGACCTTATCCTTATTACCCGTTCATCTTATCAAAGTCTGTTCACAACAGGAAGTTGTGAGGCGAGTCTACTGAAAAGTTGGGCACTTTCGAACATCCACTTTAGCAAAAGCGGATCAAACAGACCACGAACACTTGTAAAAAAATGTAAGTTGCGCATCAGGATACACAGAATGATTGTTTGGTCAACGGTTTTTTTGCAGCAATTGGATACAATACGGAAGAGTACATTTCGTGCGTCATTGGTCTTAACCGATAGTGAGCTAATGGGTACCGGGCATGCAGACATGCGCACGGTAGTATATTATACTGACAAGCGGATTCGTACTCAAGGTAAGCACACATAAACGTTTGCCCAGCAAGCTTTGTTTGCCATAGATTTCTTCAGGTGAGTGAATGAACCCAGAGAGTGTGTAGGTGTATACAAAAGGAAACAATTAAATGGAGACTTTCAAAAATTTATCTTCCATTGGCCTTTTAATAGCGTAGGCTTATTCGAGACTTCATCCTCTCAGTGAAGCCCAGCTATGCTGAAAGTTGAGAAGCTAGTCGTTGGTTTGTCTTCTGAGCCGGGCAATTTTATTACAAACATTTAATCACCAATTGGGATGACATCATCAGCGTGGTGTTAGGAAGCGTAGTGATGCGCAGCGATGGGTTGGTGGTTGTGCCAGGTGAGAAGCTGTTTTATCCCTATCGGGACTCACCGGCAGTATATATACCATAAAACAACAGGAAGTTCCGAAACACAATCTAATGAGCAGTGTGATGAAGCCTCACTGAGCGTCACTCATCCCGCAACCTCGGGATCAACATCACGCGGTCACGTGTTGACTGGCTGCTCAAGTAACAACTAATTAGATGAAAGTATCATACATCTTGTGAGACGATTACTTAGCAAATATTGCTAGTATTACTAGATTAGGGATTATCAGTTCTGATTTCCTTTTTTAAGTGAAACCGAACTATGTTGAACAGGCGAAAAGCACTGAAAAGCTGTTTCTTCCCAAGTGAAAATCACCAACAGCGCGTTTAACATGATGTTACTATCGGAGTGCAGAATACTCTGCAGTGTTTCCCGGAAAGAAAGCATTGTTTTTTTTCGCGTTTATCCAGTAGGCTTATAAGTGTGATGAAATTTTCGTTCATTATGATCCGTTGTAAACGGTGGTATTTTATATATGCACCTACCCTATAACAAACCTCATTGAGCACTGCAAAATTCGCTGTCCATGTAGTTCCGCTCAAATGTGCCACACTCCTTTCTGGTTCACATTTTTGTGTGAAAGTTCTTCATTTAGACAGGTGGCCTACGCACGAATTCCTTAGTTAGCTGCATGCCCCATCTAACTGCTTTATCACCAAGCCGGATTGCACACCACACAGCAACCAAGCCTATAAAAATTGTGCATTGTGCTCAATTCTGCAATTTTCAGTAAAAAAAAATAGCCAATGAACAAATTGCGAGAACTGACTGACCTTACTTCTCCTACTGTAGTATTTTATCGAGTAATATCCATCAAAGCGAATTCGGCGTGGCATAATTCAACCACGAACTGATGTTTAGTCCTTGTAAGAGGTGGGCATTTGTTAATATTTTTTTTCAACGAATGAGGGTCATTTATTACGGTTTTTCTAAAATATTAAATCCGGATCAACCAAACCTCTGCTAACGATACGCGGCCCATGGTTGGTTGGACCAAATCGCGTTGTTTGGATGGCAAAAGGGCAGCTGACAATTTGAACAACACTCTAATTTGCATTCACACAATGTGTTGCGCTGCACGTCTGTGTGATGTAAGCCAAATTTGAGGAAACTGTTTTATTCCCAGGAGGCATCCCACCGAAAATCAGCTTACTTCGGTACTGAATAGTTTATTCCATACATGTCAGAATTGATGTCACCAAAATAAAACAGAAAACATTCCGCGATGATGTTTAAGTGTGAGATCAAATTAACCTAAGGTTGATGGTTATATTGATGAAATCTATATAGTCTTCTTATTCGTCAAATAGTGAATAGTTTAGCCTGACAAAAACAGACACTTTCAGTGCGTTTTCTGAATAAACACATACTCTTGCTTAACTTTTTAAGGTCAGGAAAAACCTCTGAGATAGTCAGTAAGATTGTTTATTGATCAAAAGCATCAGTCATTGGATATCTCACTGTGTGTGAAAGCGGGGTGTTTTGGTAGCCTGAGACACCTATTTTCCGTAACACCTTTGTAACAAAGGGTTTGTTTCGTTAAGGAGTTTAGCTGGCAGAATAGCTGAGTAGGGAAACCACAGCACTTATGTGATGGTACCCAAATGCTCAATTGCCCAGCTACCCACGCCTGTATAAATGTCAGCCAAAAGATTTCAAGAGCATTTTTGTTAGTAATTGCTAAGCAGCTTGTACTAAAGGAGGCAGACATCTTCATGTATTCATAGAGAGCTAAAATCACGTCCACCTATCTCTTCTTTTTACACGACAACACGGTAAATATATTTATAAATATTCTTTATGGTAATGTTGATAAACGTAAGCAAAAAAGCAATTTCACCCTTTGAAGGACTACTTTGTGAAACAAGAATTTAATTGGGGAAAATAACTCACAATATCTGACGAACTTTCGCCCGATGAATCCATAAACTGTGACCAATTTTCAATTGTTGCTTGCGGTGCAAGTGAACGAGCATCCGTGGGCAGGTCTATTGACGCATTGTCGATTGAATGGTGGGCGGCTGCGGTGGGTCTTGTCTTCCTACGCGTCCTCACAGTTACCTTGGGCATCATGGCACGCTGAAGCTGCTCTTCGACACTCAGAGGTGGCGAGTAGCACGAAGCAGGATTGGGCAGGTCAGCTGGGAAGGCAAACAACAACCACAGTCATCCCAACAGCTAAACCACTGCTTAGGTAAATGCAGCGAATAAATGTATTGACTGAATTCATCCGCAGGGCTACGAAACGAACTCTGGTTTTCCGGTCCAACGTTACTGAGTGGGTGTGGTATATTTGGAAAACGAATCGGTTTTTAATTAAGCAAACATTTATCTGATGATTAGGCAGCGGGAATATCGAACCCAAGCTCTATGGGCTTAATAAAACGTGGATAGATTACCCCGTATAAGACCCACATTATGCCTCTTAAGTTGGGTCTTCTTTGTGAGTGGACGTTTTATCTCGGCAGTCTTTTGGCATCTGTTTAGGACGGATTTGGGCCCAGTAACCGTGGTGAATACTCTGTATTTAGAGGCTCTGACTTTGTTGTTTTGAATGAATCCTGACCTGAGCCAACAACGCCGTGGACCAGTACTGCGTCATACCAAGCAACTGCTCTGTAAGGTAGTACAGACTAGTTTAACCATGTTTCCAATTCAGCTTTTAACAGTTACCTGAAGTTACCATTTTTTTAAAAGTTGATACGTTTATTAGAAAAGCCATCTTTGTATTCTAAACACACTGCTACACACATGTTGGACATATCGTTGGTTGTACATGCGCCTGTAGGTGACATAAACCCCTTTTAAATGCCAGGGGTCTAGAACGTTCTATATTTTCTCAACTGAATAGGTCTCGTCGCAGCTTACTGTTACCAGAATAGAACATTATGGGTAGTATAAGAGACCTGCATGGATCTAATGTTGTTTTATACGAAGGCAGACTTGCCTTAAAGCTTCCACTTACGGTGCAGTCTTCATGCACATTTGATCAGGAGACTTTTTAAGCCGCTAAGCAATAGATAATCTTGTTTACGTGTGAAACGATACTGAAAAGAGAGGGATCTAACGTGCTTATAGTTGTGTTTCTGTAGAAAAATGCGAACTTGGAAAACCTCAGGTGCATAATTTTGCGGTGATCGTCAGAAACGTTCTTATCATTGTAGATGTGTAAACGTTTGGCCCTCAGAACTTGCGGGTTCACTTCATTTTGGGCTACGGAAGAACACGACGATTTAGATAAGATAGCGTGATTCGCAATTTCTTGACATTGAATAGTCTTATCCAGAGAGTTTGAACAAAAATCTCACTTTGGAGCAAAAACTTTCAAAGAGTACTTACCGGAGTAGGTTGGTCTCTTTATGTCCCCATTTGAATTGTATTTCAGAGCGGCCGTCAACCAGGCAAAGATGTCTTCCACCCAGACATCAAACGGAATGTGTGGCAGCACAGATGCAAACCATTTTGCTTTATCACCGATCAGTGAGGCGTCAGTGATCCCCGCATGTATTCGTTGAAAAACCTCATTTTCCGGGTAGATACTCCATTCGGATAAAAACTCCACGGCCTAAGTGCAACAATAACACACATCTCGTTGATGAATGCCGTGAAGGACAGGTTAATGCAGTGCCCATTGGTTGCGAAAATTTGAAGATTTGTGCTCCCACTAAGTTAAATGTGTAAGGTGGGTTTTGAATAACTATGTCCAACCTGTGGTAGCTCGTCCAGGCGGATGTCGCCTGACATTTATTCAACAGCGTTAGTTACTATTCTAGTGTGCAAAATTCTTTTGATCACCGGGACTGGTAAAACCTTTCAGCTGATTCATTGGAGAAGATGGCAGGCAACATCTTACAACGATTTCTCTACAAACTGTGAGGTTCGATAAAATTTCAAACTGGAGTAATTTTTTCTCATTATTTTCTATTCATTTCGTCTTCCATGTCTATCATAGAATTCCTTTTGGCGTAAACAAAAGCGCTTTAGCATCATTTCGTTGCATATCCTGCTACCCCTAGATTATCACACTGTTTGACGACGAATAATAGTTTATGAGAGCTGTTCATAACTGTCGCGAAATATCTTCTGGGAAATAATAGTTAAAAAAATAGTCATTTATTCCCACAAGTTTTGAAGGCTGTTTATCAACACTACGAAACAACTCTGTGAAGACCCGTTTTGCCTCAATGCTTCTGGTCAACCTATTCCGCTACTGATATTGGCCAAACAATGCCGACGTTCACATAAGAGGCTTAACAATGGTTTATTTGTACAAGTATTTGTTTGTTCCGACAAAACAGACCTGACCAAGCTGAATGTGCGCAAAGTTTTTAGTTGAGGCGCGGTGGATTATATGTGGAAACCAAAATAACCTGGAAAGAACTGTGGAAAGTCTGTTCAACCAAATACATTGCTTGTAGTCACAACACGTCTACGCATTCAATGTGCTAGAATACAAGGATAGCGAATATAAAAGAAAATGTGTTAGTGGCTCAAGTGGTTGGGCTCATACTAGTTCTAAGAATTCCGTTGCGACCGTTTCATCCCCAAGTGCGCTGGTTTATAAAGAATGGTATCCGTGCGCCACTGGCGTTTATCAACTATTTGTGTGCGTGGTTTGATGTGCGTTCTTTCAGGCGGTGATTTTTTACTGTAGCTGGTTGTTTGGCTGAGTACCATTTTCTTCTAATAAAGAACGACACAATGATGATGTCAGAGGTACCGGTCAGAAAACTCTTGCCAAAATGCTGTCAAGCCCAATGAACAGATTGATAGTCGTTATGAAATATGGTTGATTCTGTGCTTCATCAAAATGTGATGGTAGGCCAACATTACGCGGAAAATTTGCATTCAGTTTGAACATTTGTACTTCACAGGTAATGCCATATTCTAATACATTTACCACAGCTATTTCGCTTATTATTCACCCATTCAGGTCCCTAAAAAATAAAATAACCCCATAGTTATGGTGGGTGACAGGCAGATTAAAGTCGTTTCTTCCTACTGCCTAAACACGATGCATGCTAGAGCATACTGGCTGAAAAATCACTAGCGTTAACTGAAGGAAGCAGGAGATTTAGGAGAATTTCGAAATGAGGATTTCAAGTGCGTAAACATAGAATGAGGGTAACCTCAGACTTTTCAACACCAAATATCGACGTCCCACCCAAGGTAAATACACTGTCAGTGCTGAAGGACATCAAATGTTGATGTGTCTGGCACCGCAGCCAATCGCACGTGAGGTTCAAGTTCATAGCACTCACACAGCAAGCTTCTTCGGTAGTGTAGCGGCTACTGCATCTGTCAGGCCTGAAGGAAACTAATAGACCATGACCGCACATTGTTGTTTCTCTTTATCCACGCTTTATGACCGTAGACATCTCCTTTCAGAATTAGTAGTTGTTCCTCTGGTGACGAGTACCCTTCAAACGAATTATAACACAAAGTCTTTGCACTGGCAAATACAAGCTAGATAAATGTAATATAATTCGCAACAGTTCTGTTGCTTATAATTCTTTTGGTGCAATCCGTATTTTGGTGTAACTTTTAGAGCAAGCCCTGCTTCTAGAAATAAAATACTACTCATCGGTCTGCTGAGAGAGGCCTTATTCTGGTTTCTACTAATTACATAACTCCAAAAGCTGTTTAACATCTATGGATTTTCATCTTGCGCGAAACTGTCAGTGGTTGTAAAATGCTATTCATATAGTAAAGTGGGAAATTTCTGAAATATTTGTGCATCGAGAAGTAATGCAACGAATAAGCCAACAAACAGTTCTTAGCTAATCTAGTTTTTTGAATGTTATCTGTGTGGACTAACAATGGAGTCGGGATTTTGGTTGATTTCCATCGTACTGGAACGCTGCTGCAACAAGGGTCTAGTTAAAGCATACTTCTAGTAATTACGCACTAACTAGGGGTAGCAGACGCATTTGAACTAAATTAAATTGTAAATTAAAAAAAAAGAAATTACAAAAATTAGCATGCCTTGACGATACAACAATTTTGTTGCCAATAAAATAAATAAATAAAATAACAAATAAATAGACTTGAACAAAGACTGTTCAATTACAAACAGTTAATAACTACGGCCAATGCAAGACAGCATGTGAAGAAGCACCTGAATGGTGTCTTACAGTTCAACGCAATAATGCCTATCTTTAATTAACGTTTGACAGCTCAAAGCAAATTTTCGAATAAATCTGTCTTCACAGTTAACTACGAAAATACACCCGTGGTAAATGTAAAGTTGCCTTTTCCAGAGTAACCAATTAATGCAACTTCATTTTGATCCCACTGAGTTGACGCTGAAATTGTTTGCCGTTGAAAGACCAGTGTGCAGATTTATTCCATTGTTCTTTATATGTTTACACTTGTTAGATATCTAAACAGTGTCAGTAATCAGCCAAAGTGACTGACAATTCAGCAAAGTTATTTATACTGTCACGAGACAGAACCGATACATTTTTCACATCTGTAAAAATCATCCCCCGCTGAGACCACTTAAAATGACGCCTCCGGAGTTCATGCAGATTTATTCCATTGTTCTTTATATGTTTACATTTGTTAGATATCTAAACAGTGTCAGTAGTCAGCCAGAGTGACTGACATTTCAGAAAAGTCATTTATACTGTCATGACACAGAACCGATACATTTTTTACATCTGTAAAAATCGTCCCCCGGCTGAGACCACTTAAAATGACGCCTCATGAGTTCATAAAATGATTGATTCATCTCTAGAAAAGACCACTTATGAAAAAAGTGCACCCCTGGTAAGTTTTTGCAGTTAAACCTCAGACCCAGAAGACCTTAGGCATGCTTCTCCGCTTCAGGATAACCACTTGGAAAGATCGATCATAGGTGATCACTTTTAAAGGCCAGTTTCTTTGAAAGGACAAGACTGCACCCGTGTCCCACTCCTTCAAAACGTCGGTCTAAAACAGTCTTCTCTGTTAGGTGGCACCTCAGGGAAGCGAGGATGGTATTGCAATACACTTCACAAGTCTTAGGTAGTGTTTTTTTTTAAGTTTCGTCCCACCTAGTATCTTCAACGGTGGTCCGATAGAGTATTACAGCCAACTAGGATATCTCTTGATGGTGCCGGACAACGAATGTGTCATCACTTGTCAGATATTTACTATAAACTTATGGATGTAACGGCTTTAGACAGCCTCAATATTGTATATGTCCATCACTGGGAAGAACCTCATGGAAGTCAAAACAATTTCAGTGAGATATTTGATGATGCTGGGCACAGACGATATAGTTGGAGTTCATAAGATGGTGCTCAACCAACCATCACGATATTCGCCGTTTTTGGAGACAGGTGTGACTCTCATAAAAAGATATTGGTTATATTCCAAGTTTTATAAATAAGCGTCAAATATCAGCACATTAACTTGAAGTATGTCCATTGCATTGCAGGTATCATCTGAGGCAAGTACATTTATACGCGGTCGTACGACCGACATAAGTTTCCTCTCGAGAGGAAATCACAAATACGACCAACCAGATTGTAATTGCTCCTTTCTTGGTTGGCTACTGAAATCCGATACCTAAACTGTGTGTCGTAGCCGGGAAATTGGCAACCCACTCAAATTAATAGTTTAGAAGTGGAGCGCAACAAACAACGTGAAACCTAATTGAGCGAATAACGCAGATCACTAATCCCAATGACCTGTGTCACACTGCGACTAACAATGAGGACAAGGCTAGTGGCACTAATATGCTACAAAAGTAAAGGGATTTGAACTCGCACAATCATGTAATTAACCATCACCAGAGTAAAACTGACCGCAAAATTTACTACTTAAAATACTATTTTTTCGGTTAAGTGAACTGGTAAACGGTTGTCCGTGCTAGTGTCTTCAAAGGGTTACATTTAACAATGCTTAAGGAATGATAGGTTTTACAAACGTGAAAAACTCCGTTCACTGAACGTTCTTCTTTACGAACCAAACGCACTTTGAAAGATAACAGTGACAAATCAAAGAAAATAATGAGGTATAGAGGTCGATGAAACTCAAATGTGAACAAGGAATTCCAAAGTTGAGAGAATGACGCGAAGTATACTGCGTTTGTGTGAAGTTTTCCAAACGAACGTTAAAGTTTCTCACATCGGGAAACGTTTTTTCAAACGTTTCCTACTAATACGGGTTTTGATCTTAATTCAAGAACAGGAGGCAATTTTTGTATCAGTGTTGATGCCGTAATTTGGGAAACCATTTGGTGCGATTCTACAAGTGGCCTTTGGAACCAGGAGGACACCACGGGGAAGGATCTCTAGGCAGACCAAATTATACAGTAGTAGTAATTCATAACAGTTGTTTTGTGGTGGTTTCCCTCTAAAGGTGCCTTTTTATCAGTGAGATCATGTCTAGGAATCCATCGCTTAGGCTTCTTTTTTACTCTTTGACAGTAACCGATGAATAAAAAGAAGTTCACCAATTTTTATGGTTGATGGCAAGAGTTGCACAGTTTACCACCGATCCCAGCAGTTTCGTGAGTCACACTACTTTATACAACTGTTCAAATGAATGTACTGCAAACAGGTCACCCCACATCTCGTTTGGAAAACCAACTACGATTTGAGGTACTTTTCTTGATACAACACTTCATATTGGGTTGATAAATAATCATAGACAGATCACTATCATTTTTTCCGTTGTCGCAAAGTACCTTTACTTTCGAACTGCATTCATCTGACGTTTTACTACAGGATCTGCTAACCCCCTTTTTAAATTCTATCAATTCATACCCAAAGTTCTTTGGGTATCTCCGGAATGTCAACACCTGATCAAATGTGGAAGCCATACAAAAGATTCGCAATTGGTGCTGATAAACATCAAACAATAATCTATCAAAGGGCTGTGGGGCACAAAAGCCTTGGAATTCCTCTGCCTAAGTGTTAACAAAGAAGGTGTCTTTCTTGGTTTGCACCGTGAAACGCACTTTCGGCAAACGACCGATCGGTGCTGCCCGTCCAAGACATATCCTTTTGCTCCGATTATGCATATCTGGATTTCTCACTTCAAGATCTGCCATATCTTACTCTAAATTCTATCGACGCTCTCAAAGTTTAATTATCCTACAAAGTGAGAAACGTTTTCAAGAGAAAAAGTTTTTTTCAGATTGGCCTATCCGAGTAAACAGATCATAAGATCCCAAGTCTCTAGCTCAAAAGGGAGCGTTTTTCCAATTAGGGACACTTAGGAATCACTGTACCAATAATTAGTGACCAACAGCCTTTGGCAATGCGCCCGTACTTATGACGCACTCTGTACGGCCATGCAACTCGGAATAACCTAACCTGCTTCAGTGCTAGGACTAAATTAGTAAGTCGCGAGGATTTGATTTTTCTGTTGTGACTTACTTATCACTATAACTGCAGTTTTTAAGATACCTACTTCGGCAGAAAAGACACCTACAGAAAAATCAGGTGTACGTGATGGGACAACTGCTCTCAGCTTACAATGCTATAGAATACAAGACGCCTGCCGATCAGCAATCTTCCGGTTGCTTTTAGACAGCCAATCGGAATTCTTTTGCACAGTCCAACATCTAAAACGCCGGTTGGCGTATAAGGATGCAGTACTAATTAAACTGAGACAACCAAAAAATCCCTTGACTTAAGCTATCTGTTTACGTCGCCACTGACTTTTGACTGATCTATAAGGAATGACTCCCCATGCACCTTTCGTTGTTTCCACCATGTGTTATGATGTCATGAAATTAGCAATTTACGTTAACAGTAAAAATTGCAATGTAAGTGGCAACACTTGGCAAAACATCAGATAAATGCTAATCCGTTCAATCGCCTTGGTATTACAAAACTTTTGAACACAGTTTCAGGAGATAAAAGCAGGCGCCCGAGTGGTGACGACGTCTTTTTGAATTGTTCCGGGAAATTCGCGAGCCAATCACAAGGCTAGATGAACGAGTCAATAGCCACCCGATTAATAAAATAATATTAATAATAAATCCGATCTAGCCATTAGCACTTCGCCAGTCAGTGGTACCGTTTAGTTGTTTTTTCCACCTTCCCGATGAAGTGCAACAGAAGTTGGAGGTAATTTCCAGTAGACGATGGTGAACCCTCAGCTCATAAAGGATGCAGAATTACACAGTATCTAATCGGAAACGATGCTAGAATATTTCACTTACCTGTGTTTGTGCAAGTCGTCGAATGAACGGTGTCAGCGTCTGACGGGACTTGAGGAAAGAGTAATACTGGAATGCTACCACTGGCCTCGGGTACAGTCGAACGTTGCGCGTGTGTTCACTCAAGTTAGCCAGTACATTCGGTGAGTCGAAGAATCGTACCTATGCGGGAAAAGTGTTCCGCTTGTTACTGTTTTATTTCAAATGTCACTGCACAAAAGCTTTTTAAAATTCAAGAAATCCGGTCTCCAAAGCAGGCAATTTTTTCTTCTTGACAGATGTATGCCAGGTTCTGTTAAAGTCAGCTTTTTTACAATCGAAGTAGGAAAGAAGATCATCAAATTATTGCCTGAGAACATTAAACTGAGGGGACCAGTTATGGCGGTGTGACCCAAAGACAGTGGTTTGCGATCAGATTCCGTTTCTTTCATTTATTTCGACCGTGTTTTCGCCCAGTGTTTTTGCCTTGTTGCAGTCAACTGTATTTCAATAATAATGCTGTGGAGAACTGCATGTGGCCAGCATCGCGAACATTTCTATCTACGTCAAAGACACATCCGGTGCAAGTTCACTTGTCACGTATTTGCGTAATCCACAGCTTTAATTTCTATTTTGATGCAGTTACGTAATTCCGCGTGATACGCGGGTGCTTTCCAATCCAGTGCGGCTTTTGAATTGTGTCATTGTTTCGAAATCGAGTTTTGGACAGAGTACTGGTCTTTAAGAGCAAACTTTTAGGCTAAACTTTTCATGTCAAATTTTTGTTTCTCTCAGAGTGTAAAGTAGTTAGAACAATGTTACCCTGTGAAAAGCGAAAATCAACCTATCATGGTACGGATACATAGAAGGTGCCATTTATTTTCTCAAAATTGGAGTTTCATTTGGTAATGGGTAAAAAATCAATCGCTTTTTGTTTCTACTTTTTGATGAGCCTTATTTTAAGATACTCTACATATCTGCCAAAATTTGCGGCTTTTCAGTTTTTTGAAGGTGCGTAAAGTTGTTGAATATTTCTACTTTGTTCCCACAAACTTTGCTCCGGATAAAAAGTTGGTAGGAACTGCCCAATCTGAGCCAACTATGTGATCCACATGTACTGAAACAAGGTGGCTACTACATTATACACTCATTGGATGTGCTGCAAAATACGGCTCCCTCCCCAGCTTCCAGGCCGGATAGTTCTCTCCAGTTGAGGAGTTTCTAAATGATGACTGTGTTAGGTTGGTTGTGCGGCTCTATTGGTGCCCCATTTTTCGTGGTAGTTGAATATCTGCACACGTTGCAACAGCGCTGAAGTATACTTCTTCAGGGAGGATGTCGTGACGATATATACGATACTGATGATAAAAAATACTGCTATTGTCAATTAAATTATTCGTTGGGTGATTAGTTCGCAATTTATGGGGTAGAGTACAAAGCTAACTTCAAGTTGTAGAGAGAATGGAGGTGAGTTCATCTTGCTGATGTTTGGTGGTGTAGTTAACGTTTTCTTGTTCGGGACATCAAGCTCTTTGTAATACGTCTTCGCCACTCCGCCATCTTTCCACTCTTTACTAGGCATTATCTTTCATGATTGTAAGGCGTTTAGTTGCTGGTATTCATTACTGGTGTGTTACCGTTGATGGTATCGATATCTAAGAAAGCCAGGATTCTATTCAATTCGGAGTTTAGTCAGAACAAGTAAAAAAATCAGAAGCATTATTATTTTCGCGGCACTCCAAATCACTCCTGGAGTTTCTTAAACAAATAGCATACCACTCACAATACACAAGCTTAAACTCAGACAGGGACACGCAACGAGGAGAGGGAATAACGGATTAGTTGATATGTTTTACAATGGCTACAATGGGACCGGCTTAGTTGAGGTCGAGCGGAACATGCGAAACGATTAGTAGCTGGTAAGTGTAGTTTAGTTGAGCGGATCAATGGTATGTGGTGTGGGGACAAATAGTAAATAAGATGGGTGGTATTGAGCAGTGACGGTCGCACACATTGGGTGAAGATTATGGTGTTCAATAGAAAAAATCTCTCTGGTTAACTGATATTTTATTGCCATCCGTTGGATTCACCAAGTTAAAAACAATTAATGAGGCACCCGTATGAAAATGTTCGCTGTGTAAAAACTGAGTTACTTAATACCTACATTTTGTTCGCTTGCGCATCACTAAGTAACTGAGATCGAGTAAACTGTGGTTAAGATGCGAACATTCAAACGGAAGATCCGTTGTTCGAATCCAACCCCTGAATTTCAACTGCCCCCATCTGGATGTGAATTAAAAATACATGGATTCTATGCATCGTCTCACGGCTTCTGAAATTTTTTTCGCTGTCAGGTTTGATTGATCGTCTGAAGGTGTTTTTGGCAACTCTCGAACTACCAACAGAATTTAGCTAGCCAGAAAGCGGTGAGACGTCAAGAAGGACTAGGGAATCATCACGAACTGGAAAGGTCCCTTCAGGTCCAATAACAGAAAAGTGGGTTCCTTACTGAAGGGGAACTTGTCATTTTATCAAGTGTCTTGGTGATGAGCTGGACATTCTATTCCAGTGTATAGCTATGAAAGCGTCTGTGATCAGCTACCGGACGTAGGGTTACATTAGGGTTATGAATCTTTGGCAGGCCATAATAGTGATCTAAACACCTGGAGAAAACCTGGAAGCACTTACTGGTGTTCTCAGTTGTAAAATTCTGTTAATAGACCGATACATGAATGAAAGGTTTGGTGTGTTAGTGGTGTCATCATGTCATGATATAATCTGCCCTGTTCAGTAGCACAGCTTGGCTTCTTTCATCTGATTGGTTAATGAAGCTGTCACTCTGCAGATGGCTCACTGCTGCATTCGGAGTTTTTCAAACAGACAAAAACCATGGTTTGTGATATTTTCGGGCTCGTCTTGGCCTAATCGAGCAGCTTTAGAATCTCAATCTGCTCACAAAAAATAGACGCGAATTTGTTTAAAACAAATGTTTTCATTGACTTCATGTCGGGTTACTGATTTGGACGGCTATTATCCTTCCCAATGTGTGGAAGAAGAGTGAAAGTTTTGCTTATATTGACAAAAAACGTTTTTTTGGAAGCACTGCTAGCGTTTCTGTGATCAAGATATCAAACATTTGCAATAATTATGATCATCATCATTGACATCAGCTTCAGATGAGAACACACCGTATAGCCCTGTCCCAATCGGGTCATGTAGACCCGGTAATTTAATGCTTTCAACTCCTGCACTGGAACCAGTACAGTAGTGTCCAGGAGAAATAATCACACGAAACGGTGGAATTTGGCCATTCGCAGGTGCTTCAGTCCATAGCAGCCGAACGATCGGCCAACCCAGTCTTGACCTCTTCATGTTACGGGAGTTAGTGGTCTCTGATTGACTGAATGCCATCTACTTACTGATGTTTCCTCTTTAAATTTCAACGGTGACGACAAAAACAATGGATTGTGGAGCAGCCAATAACAAACTTACCATTGCCACGCGAGTAGCAACATCAACTGAGTCAACGTCATCCACAGCAGTTTGTAGGTCAATCTCACTTGGCTGACTCTGACCGGCTGCACTTTGGTCATCTGGTCTTGGCCTTTCAGAAGACATACTTGTCAGAGCCTCAATTACCAGAAGAATACAAAACACAATTACCACCATGAATCACAAGTGACACTAGAGCAGGCAGATCAAAGCATTATGGTTTCTTCAACCTAGACACGTAATTTTGTATAGTTTCCGGAAAAATACTTACTTTTCTTCAGATCTAACTCTAAGTAACTGATTTAAATGGAACCTGCAGTTCGCAAGAACTGAATTTTTGGATCGATATTCTCATAGAATTGCCGAACATTACTAGTCATGGGTCGTTTGTGTGAACCAACAGACCCCACCCATAAATTGGCTATGAAATATTTCACACATCCTGCTTACACAGATAATCTGGGTTGACGCAAGTCACACTGCTCAACGGCTGTACAATTAAATAGCAAAAGCTAATTCTTTGGGATCGCTGGCAGTTAATACAATCCTGTCGAACACTTCTTGAAGCATTTGGGGACCTCACCGATCACCCAAATGTATTTTTGTATGTCGTTCACTGCATGACAAAAGCATGACAAAAACAGGATAAAAGATTACCCCTGGATTGGTGGTGTCTCCAGAGTTTTTAGAAGTTTACAAAAACACAAAAATTTAAGACATAAGGATGTATGTAAACCACAGGCGCATGAAATATAAGACGACTATAGGTTGCATGCATACCGTATATTATCTTGACACATATGTACTCAGTTTTACAACCGATTTTATGATTGGCCCGCCGTGAAGGTCAGACGATCGAACGGAAGCAGATCTTCACGGACAGTATCTGAATGTCAGCCTTGATTTTACTATTACTGAGTGATGAGAGACTGTTTATTTCACAGTACATGGACCTGTGTACCATCACTTTACCCACCATGTCAACAACACTTCGCTGTCCGCGCCTACAAAGCCACTAATGGTACTCCCTAAGAATTTGTATGTGGACATCAGCTTGTATCCTTCGGAACCAGGCATCCATGCGCTTATTTAGTGAAGCATTGCATAACTTATGCTTTCGTAGCCCTAACAGGTGGACACTAACAACTTACATGCTCCAAATGTCGGACTAGTTCCTGGCCTTCTTTTTGAGGAAGCGGTGGTATTGGGTCCAGACTCGAACTGCCCATCAACTGTAACCAAAGCAAAAAAATAGAAAAAATACCTAAATATTGTATTCAGAGGGCAAAATTACACAAATTTCACGCCAATTTATGCGGGATTCAAACAGTTCGTTCCGTAAAATTCATTGTTTGAGCACACCTGGTTGGACAGTAAGCAATTACAGATGTCAGTCGCCTAACCGAAAACCGTTCTTGACTTTTTCGTGCCTACTACTAAGGATGTTGAGGCAGAATTGCTTATCAATTTTACCTCCGGCCGCTCCAAATTTAACCATACCTTACCTAAGCAATACGTTTTTGCAGAAAATAGTTCGTGTCACCACCGCCAAATACAAAAACTCTTTTTGGAATTTTCTGCCATTATTTTGTGCTGTGCTGGGATGTCCAGATAGTGATGGTCACTGAATAGATCTGATGAGCTCAAAAAACTGCAATAGGTGTCTGCTTCCAAGAAATTGTTGCTCCTAGATCCCGTGGTTCATGTCGGAATTCCACGAAAACCCCTTATGTCAAATATCGTTGATCTTAATAATTGAGTTTTCATTGATTGAAGTAACCTCATGTTGAACACCATTTAGAATCTTATGGCTCCAATTTGTATTCAGCGAGCATTCGTTAACCAATAAACGTGCAGTCGCTGACTTACACCCTATAACTGAAAAAACTGGTAGACTCAATGCCCGTTAGCTCTGTTTGGCAGTGGTTCTAACCCCTGCATAGAGGATCGGTTAATAAGGCCCTCATAATGTAGGCAATGTACATCCAAGCACACGTATTCTGTTGTTTCCAGTTGTATTACTAGTGCAAATTACAAACTAAAGTCAAGCGGCGTGACCAGAAGGCCCAGAATACGTTAGGTTGTATCGATTAAAGGCTTGGTAAGCCACGAATCCAACCATTCGATTTGACGTCGAATGGCGTGATGTCAACTATACCAAATGACAGCATGTAGTTTGAAATCTCTTACGAATGTATAATTCACCTTAATGCACATGCCCGTTGTGAATAAATGGTGTACATTTTTTCTACCGATTAGGGTACACTTTGTCCGGCAAGTATTCGGTCGAAAGAGCACATGTTGCATTCCTGTGATAGTCCGTGCAGACTCTAGTGTATCTCACTGAGACTCATCAGCTGAAGGATTTACTCATCTAGTGCGGACGAATGTTAAATGTTCCTCTGCCAGTTTCAACGGACGTTTCCTCCAAAAAACACGTTCTAGTTTGAGTGTCATCCTCACAGAGTTCAATAGTCTAATCTGAACCGTTGTTGATGATGTGATGAATAGGTGACGTTCTTCCCACGTATGAACGTGATTTAAACTTGAATTACATTATTGATTTGCTTTCACCCTTTTTTCTTCTTAATGATTATAGCAATCAAGCAGTATCCTATGGCTGAAAGCTTCCGAATTTGCCTGGTCTCCTTAATAGTTTTTAAGTGCACATCGAAGAGATTTAGTCAGTATATCCAGTAGCAGTTTATCTTCATCGCCACACATTATTTCACCGCACAAAATCTCTCTTCGTATGGTGCAGTAACGAAGAAGTGCCCTCATTAATTGTGTAAATGTTGTTAAAGCAAAATTGAACATCTGTTACCGGAAGTATTGCAGGACTGTTAAACGACATCACTCGAAGTAAAAGGAAAGGACAAACTACTGACAGTATGGGGCTGGTTGTAGCCACTTCTACCAAGTTTCAATAAATGAAATGCGAAGGCTCTTCGAAGCTGAAGTTGTAGCCCCGCTGTTATTCACCAACTACAGTTTAATTTGACTGACCTAGGCGGTTATTGCAGCGCCTAATATAGTACGCGAATAACAACTTCGGGTGCGAATGAAAATGCTCTACTGTGATAGCCCATCAAAAATACAAAAAAACTTTTCATTAGAAGTACCCTAATGAATAATCTGGTCCCATTTCTAATGAGCTCTTCGTGCAGCCCCCTTGAAATAACATTCGGTAACTCGTTTACATCCGAACAGTCAAGATGTAGTAGTCGTATCCCTGGAAGATTTTTCAAGGTCGTTTCCATAAAAAAATGCTGGAAACGTCCAAACCCACTCTAGCTTTAATTATTCCAAAACCTATATTTTTATCTGCTTGGTTTCTTATGACAGCTGTTATTTGCACGTTACAGCGGGCCCGAAAAATCTTCAAAGTGCGTCGCGTTCAAACACCCTCTAAGCTCAAATGTAAAGTTTCTGGTAATATGAACTTTACTGCCCTATTATCATGCAAGAACATGAACACTGTCTATGAGTAATGAGGTAAATTTCGTAAACAGTGCAGATAGCTGTAAGTTCCTGTGCTATAGACCATTTTCTCCGAAATGTAATACAGGTTCATTCTCGGACTGATGGAGTGATCAGCTGTATCGGTGTCCAAAGATGGTGTGATGGTCCGAATCCACTTCTAATCAGCATTTGGACTTCCACCTCTGTATCTCGACTGCTTCTATTCACAAGACAAAGTCAACACACCAAAGATTGTGGACAGACATGCGGCTCACTCGATTCGTATCCAAATCCACTAGCCAAACGTCAGGTGGGATGTAGAAGGATTTTTTCTGACTCAAAAAGTTGGCCGGAATGCCAATCAGGAACGGAGTAGGTGAGAGTAAAAGCTGTGCGGGAAGGATAAGGTATACACAATTAGCATTCAGTGAGAAAGCCACATTGAGAAGATCACAATGGTAGAGAGTTCGATTTTTCAACTTGAGTGGGTCACTTGTTTGGGTGGAGATGGTCATATAAGATTCCATGCTAAGGTTAACGGATCTTGGAGACAAACACAAACACAAGAAGTCATCAAAAGGCATTAATATGTCGCGTTGAAGTGAACTCATCACCGGAAAAAATAGATGGTTTTGAAGAATTTTTCAGATTTCAACAAAGCCGTTTGTAAAATCACGTTTACTAGTTTGACGGAGTTTCATCTACTCATTGAAATACTACACAGACACCTGTCACAGACTCAAGAAGCAGTCTTGTACTGGTTTGTCTGCATGCATCACAAAGGTGTCTTGATCTATTCACCAAAACGCCTTTACTCAAACAGACGCCCCAGTGGACTCCAGAAATTTTGCCGAATAAATGGGAAACCAGTTTAACAACGTGTCATCCCATCGTGTTAAGGACGAACCTGAATCAGTGCAACTCGATGGTAGCAAATGAAGCTCTTACGCGTCGATGGAATTCCACTAGACTACACATAGTTTTGTAGCTCTCTGATAGTGTCGACATTTGTAGTTCTTTCAGCTTTAATGCTTAGTGGTTCCTTAAAACAGCAAACGTCTACAGCCACATAGTTAGTGTAGGTGGCTAGATAGGAAAAAAAGCTGTGTGCATCCGAGCGATGTTTTTTTGCAAGAACTGACATCTTTAGATCTCTCAGGAAGCCACTATTCTGAACCCTTAAGGTATGGAATTGCAGTAAATACAACCCGCTTCGTTTTGTAGCTCTCTGATAGTGTCGACATTTGTAGTTCTTTCAGCTTTAATGCTTAGTGGTTCCTTAAAACAGCAAACGTCTACAGCCACATAGTTAGTGTAGGTGGCTAGATAGGAAAAAAGCTGTGTGCATCCGCAGCGATGTTTTTTGCAAGAACTGACATCTTTAGATCTCTCAGGAAGCCACTATTTTGAACACTTAAGGTATGGCATTGCAGTAAATACAACCCGCTTCTCGTCGTTATTCGTAAAGTGATACAGTTTGACTTACGTTCTCCGCTCCATCCAGATTGGTTGGTAGAAGCGGAATCGCGGGGAACATGTACTGCAGGGGGTAAAGCATTGCCGTGAATGCCATGACAGACATCGTGAGTGCGTTATAGTCTCTTGACTGAAGAATCACCTAAAGCGACAGGGGATTAAAAAAGGAACAGCAGTTGTTATTCAACAGGTTTTTAAGTTTTTTCATCTTTGCAGATCTCCAAAAATTCCATTCTCAGGCTGTACAGTTCAAACAAAGTAAGCTGCTGACAGGCCAGTAGTGATAGTAGCTCCGTGACTATTGGCACCTCGTAAAGAAGGATGCCTTTCCGGAGCATCTTAGACCAAAACGTAAATGACCTCAGTTTGAAGTCAGACGCGGCTTAAGGGCAGCAAACTACCTACCATCAAGTTCATCCACCATCAACCGTCCTATCCTAATCGAAATCGTGGCCTCTGTTTGTGCACATGTGGCTTCCAGAACTTAAAGTTTGTTAGAATTTCTTAGTTGAGGTAAAGGATAACGTCTTCATGAGAACTATTAACTGGTCGTCGCTACCTGCCTAGATGGGACGCAGATGTAATTGTTTATCTGTAGGAATCGCAAGCTTAGTAGGCATGCTGCTGGGTTTACAATCAAAATAACACTGTGTGTTCACGTTTACATCCGCTCAGCATAACGTTCGAGTTAAGTGTCACGAAATGATCTGGTTGACACCAACTTACATGTTCTCTCCCTTGATCCAACGTTATATAACATGTCTAAGAAGAAGTCAGCGTGCGTTAACTCTTAATTACAAAATATTTTCGGTATTCCCGACCAGTGTCTGGTGGGTGGTTTGCTTTCTGCGCTTGGTAAGCCGGTTAAAATGGGTCCACCGCCAGTCGAGATTATATCCTCAGTGCGTAGCGAAAAGGTGCAATGAATCAATGAAAATGCACCGCTTAGTGTCCTGCAAAGGCTCATACACATTGCCCGCCAGACCTGAATTTCCGCTCTGATAGGTCGTTTTAGGCAGGTTTAGGATTACTGGATCCGTGAGCCCGTGTTATAATCCACAGACGTCTATATTATCACTCCACTTTATCTCTAGGCTTGTTCCGTCAGCCAGGTGAGCTGCAACGGAGCAAACAAGTCATCAAATATATGAACGGGTCCATAAATGTTTCGTATGTCATCACTTATCCCACAGAAGGAAAGTAATGAGCCAACAAATTTCGTGTCACCGTTTGAGGCATGGATGAGACGTCTGGTTGGAGATGACCAACAGAATAGACAAACTCATACAAAAGATGAATTCAACAGCAGGGTTATGGAAAATGTACCCCGTGTGAGTTGCTGTGGCTTTAGCGCATTCGATCAGTGTTACCAAGCCTGATGAACCACTATAAAACCAGACATCAGGAAGGGACTTAAAGGTATGAGGACTCCCATTTTTGCTGGTTTCGGGTGGGATACTGTGACCGTCAAAGGAATTCCGTGTGCAATCAAAAGTTTGTTTTGCTCAACACTGCCTGTGGATGAAACCCTCCACTGGGCAGTGAATGACTAACCTAAAATTATGGAAAAGATGTATAAGCTATATAAAAGTCATGTAAGAAATATGTTCCTGTAGTGTACTCCGAATGTACTGTGTGGATTGAAAGGTTTGCTCTTATGAGATACTTCTAACCCGAGGGTTAACTTTCACGTATCAATCGTTTCTTGGGGCCTCCTCAGAGGAGGGATTCACTAGCCGCACGATTACAAGATACGCTTAAACTTTGAAACGGTGAATGTATCAATGTTTGGGAATTTACAAGGTGTAAAATAATATCCGGTGAAATAGACAAATCGGAAGTGGAAACAAATTAAAATGTCAAAACTGACTCAATGAGTCGTGAGAAGATGAACATGGCAGTATATTCTAAAATCTTACAGAATCGTAAACTAGACTGGTGCAAGCTATCGTCACTCTAGTTGTGAGGAGGGACACCTTCAGCCTCAATACTCATAGGCTGGTCACACAGTGGCGGCCGAGGAGTGTTAGAAATAACACTTAATTGTTCATTCTCGTGTGCTCAAACTTCCCGATAAATTTGATCGCTTGAGTTAAACCGGACAGACGTGTCCTGCTACGCCACCGCATCAGTGTGAATTACATCAAATTAGCGGTAAATATTAATGTTTACCTGTGATATACGATTGGCTAATACACGGAATCAAAGAAATCGCGTCCGCACCGATGCAAGTAGTGCTATCAAATTTTTTTTCTTCCATCCAGATGTTTGCGGTAAGTAGCGCTCAGCAAAAAGCCTGTGTTGCATTTGAATCTGTCACAGACATTGGACATATTGGCGAGGCATAACGGAAGTTATCATCCAGTCGCCTTCCAAATTCCTATAATAAGCCATGATGTTGGAACGCAAACAAACGCTCCCGAGTTGAAGATGGGCGTCAAAGGACTTTCACATCGTCAGTTAGATCTATGTGAATGTTTTTGCACATGCATGCTTGGCTTCTGTTGAGTGTCCCAGTACTCAATGGCTTTTTTTCTCACTAGTTGCGTCCACGTGTTCATGCCAATCTGAATTTCCGACAAGTGTTTAAACGTCCCAGCGAACGATTCAACTGTGGCGTTTGAATGAAGTTAACGTTGCGGAAATCTCAGACACAAATATTATGACGCAGGTCTGAGCGCAATTAACAAAATAAAAAATTGGTTACTTTGGATTCCACATGCATATTCCACTTCATCACCCGAGGAGAGTCAAAAGAACTACCACAGTTTTGATCATGAAAATCTTACAGTGCGTTATTGGTCGGCAAAAATGGCGCTTAATAGCTCAGAAAACATCACTGCTTGTCCAAAATGTCTTTCTGTTCATTATTTTGACAAAACGATCGATTTTGAAAATTCACACTTTGATTAGTTAATTAAAAGCTAGTTTGGTATTCGGTCCTCTTTTCGCTGTACACATCACACCGGAAGTTTAAAAAATATTCTAGGTTTTCATTCAGAGTTAAACTTCTGGCATGCATGCTCTGAGTATGGTCAATTCTAGCACTTTTAGCTTAACGCAATTACAGGCATAACTCTCTCTTCTCATGAAAGATTTGCGCTTGACGTGATGCACAGGGTGTAGGTTAACAACGGCCAGTAAATTTCACCTCCAGCAATAAAGCCATACAGGTATAAACATTGGTGGTGTAACATATATCACATGTCGTGGTATGGTATAGAATTATATAACCATACAAACTAAAAACAACGCAAGTAATCACTGGTCTTCAACCACAATGCAGGAGTCATGAGTTTGAATTTACTTTGAGTCTTGAGAGATGCTCAATGTTCTTGGATCCCAGTAGGGGTGAAACATCCATGCAGTGCCTATCAGCTTATGGGCATAAATTCACCTCGCTTCATCACGAACTCTTGATCGAAATTTCAAATCCCTTCCTACTGTCATCAAATCAGGAAAAATGCAATGTACTTGTCTGTAAGAAGTTGAACAAACTTCCAGATATTTTAAGGACCCTATCAAATGGCGGACCATTATCTTTGAGAGTTAACAGACTTGATTGCTATACAAGTGTATCAGGCCGGATTGTTTTAGTTATATAAAAGGAACCATTGTCGTCAGAGCTAGCAACTTCAGATGAAATCGAAGGCAGTAAAGGTCCGAGTATTAGTGTTGATGCTGGACCAAAAGATGATGTGAGTATTCTTATTTGGATGAGATGGCATCATAGTTATTTAGGCAATAAAGCGTTTTATCAACAAAACTCCTGATGTTCGTAATACACTACTCATAAGTTTGCTGAAAATTGATCGGTCCTCTGTATCTTTAATCAGGAAACAAAACTTGTGAAGTTAAAGCTGTCCCCACAATGAGTAGTACTGGGCAGCACAGTTTAGTGTGACCCACTATTCTGGTCAAGCAACAAGTTTTCGATAAGAAACCTTTCCTTATCGAATCAAGCATGTGAGTACAGTAGGTCTTGATTCAGTAAAATATGCGATCGAATCACTAGCATAACCCCAGTCAAACTGCACATCACCTATACGATTAGAACAGTGAGACAGAAGGGGGATCAGGAACCCATCTATATACAGTTTCAAACATCTTTCATCGTGGATAGATCAGGTCACTGTGGTGGAGTAACCTCAAGGTATTATAAATGGAGAAGGAATCTGACTTGTCTCATTTCTTTGAGAAAATTTATTTACCTTTAGTATTTGTAATTTTCAAGTAAACAAACTGCTTGCATTTCCTTAGATTCCTCAAACCACTAGAATGAGTCAAAGGATCACTGTGTGGTTCAACATTTAGAGAGAGTTTAGAGGCTGAATATACGACAAAGTAGAGGTGAGAGAAAAATCACTGTCGACATCGTAGATGTGGAATGACGCGGTCTCATTTGATGGGTGACTGTGAAATCTAATTGAACGTTTTGCCACAACAAAAATGACTGAACACATTCACGGTGCAGTTTCCTGAGCATAAAACCACGCTTGACAGTTCTGGATGCAAATTTCCAAAGCCTTTTCAAAATGTTGCAGGAAAACCTGCCAGCATATCAAGAGTCTTACTGTGGTTTCACTGGGGTAACAAACTGCCACAAGCATAGCCTCCACTTCTGTTAACTTTGTAGTCTAACAGCGAGTGAACAAATCAACTCCACTACATTAAATCACTTTGGGTGCAAGATTGCTTATTAAATAGAGCGCCAATTTACTGAACGAAAGGTTTTTGCTTCGAACCCGACCTCTGCAGCTCGACTTCCCATTTCTAGGCCTAGGCAACCTGGCAGTATCTCAGCCCTCGTGCTTCCATCTGGTTGCATCGCATTTAAGCACTGAAATGGCGCTACGGCTGAACAATATAAAATCACCTCACTCCTGCACCCGTATGCTGATGCACATAATTCAGCGAAAACAATCCAACATTCAGTCGAGTACATACCTTCTGCTCCAGCATTATGGCAGTCAATACTTTCAGACATGTCTGAACACCAAGCAGCTCGAGTGGCAGATGAAGTGGAAAGTCGACCAGCGTCAGTCGAGTCTTGTCCGGGAGAGCGAAAATAAGAGGTGGGTCAATGGAATCCGGCACTGCTGAAAGCTGTCGGGTGAAAATATAATTGGTAGATTTTACCATTATTTAACAAACCATTACACAAACAGCGGATACATTTCTTTACTTAGCAATGGGGTAAACCGAAACCTGTTAAAATATACTCTGCTTAACAGAAAATGTTAATGGTACCTAATTCTTCCAAAAACCAATACTCGAGGCAAAGCAGACATCCAAGAAAAGAGGAACAGAATGTGGCGTCTTTATTGTGTTGTTTATCCTAGGTATACGAATCAGCGATTTGGGCGTCTCCTGTTCAGTGATGAGGATTTCGCTCCTCAAGAGTTGATCGCAATAAAGAAACATTTCGTGTCACCAAAAGCCGTCCTCCATCGAACGCTTAATATTTTGATTTTTTTGTGGAAAGAATGAATGTACGACCTATTAGATCATAGTTTCAAACCAGGTGACAAGTTAGATAAAACGTGTTTTCAGGTAAGAAGGTTTAAATGTTGAAGTTAGTCACGAAAGTGAGTTGCTTGAACATAAAGGTTTCAATGGACTGGAAGCAACAGTCTTTCCGTTTTTCCTGTTTTGGTTTAAACAGACTGTAATTCAGCTATTGCGCTATGAATGCTTTTTGTTCTTGAGGTTGGCAACTAACACAAACAGCAGAACAAAACTGGAGAGGTCCAACATCTATGTTTTCGGCAAACCACTCCACAAACTTTATAATAACGTGTGTTACTCTTCAGTTTTTACTCGTGCAAATAAGCAACCGATCATACTTAATCCGTGCTCTGCTTTGTACCTTTTACTACTTATCTAGTTTATAGAACTCCAGACATCAACACGACATGCTGCTTCTTCATTTTCATATATTACGTTTTTGCTGGCGGATTTTACCATAAAAGTAAGTACATTTGTGTTCTCAATAGAACTGAATCGTCTGATGTGATCAGGCGCTTTGTTTCTTTGCAAAATAAAACGACCTTATTGAAGAGTGTGCTGCATTCGAACAAACCTTTCGCACATATGGATACCTCTGTTTGTGTAAACTTGTCAGATTATCTGATCAACAATTAAAACAACCGTTATTTTTAGACCAACATTACTCACGATATACGGATGACATAATGAACCAAGTTTTTCTGTCTTCAAATCTACCAATAACTATTCGAAACATGGACGCGTCACAGCTGTATAACCAATCTGCACCTGCTTTCGTTTGCTCACACAGTCATTAGGTCTAAGGATAAATGTAAGAGTCACTCAGTGAACTGCAGGCAGCTGCATTACTCTATGGTGTGCGGCCAACATCGTCAGCTCAAATAGAGAAATACCACAGCCAAACCTCTGAGGGTCCCGTGCTTCAGCATTCTAAGCCCTTGAACCGGCTTGCAGGGCATTTTTTTGAAACAACCAGGCATCAGTTGGAATAGCCTATCAAATATGTTTCAGCTCTTGGACTTGAGTAGGTTAACGCAGAATAAGCGGTAGCTTGGAGGCAGATGACAGTCAGAAGTCAGAAATGGAACTGTTTTCATGATAGTTATTGCACATGCACACAAGTGTCGAAGATCATGACAGACTTGGATATGACGCAAAATTTCATACAACTGCATTAATTCCGGAAAGTAAGTTGTCTTCATGTTATGGTGTGGGTACAGAGATAATGTTGCGTCCACAAATTCCTACATCTCAAAGATCAATAACGTTCATTAATTACCTTCGATTACTGACTTTATTTTACTATCGTTTGGGACTTCATTAAGTCCAAATGTTTTACACAACAATCTTCCAATTTATTTTGCTGTTTAGTTTTCTCTAATGGGTTATTAGGTTCAAGAGTCCTTGTGTTGAGGAGTCTCCTAAAAGTGAACGTCACTTGTCCTGGCAAAGATTGTTAAACAGGTACTCACGTAGACACAGCTGCGTTCAGGTAATGGGGCAGGTGTGCTCAAAATTCGATATATCCAAGTCTCTATTTCGGCAAAAAGACGCTGGCAGACTGCATCCGTTGCCGTCTGGCCGGTAACACCACCGGTCATTAGCGACCAGACTTGTCCTGGTTGGCTGTGAAAATAAACAAAATTCATTCACATGAACCTCTCCATATTTTTGCAAAATGCCTTATGAAACTTTAATATAATCAAGCTCATTGTGAACATCCCTGATGAAGAACATTAGCTTTCAAGTAATTAGGCAAACACGCCACCCCAAATCCTTGAAACCTCCAGCAGAAACGTTTCGTTTCAATCACAGAAAACAATCACCAGTATCTTCTGGTATCATTTTGATCATCAGAAATTAAACAGTTCCTTTTGTATGTGGAAATTATATAGAACTGCTTTAATTAGACACCCATCATTGAGAGGGACGATAACGGAAGCCGGAAAGTAAAGCATCTACGGTCATTGCATATTTTCAAATTTCGAGTGTTCGAAGGAAGAGTTTAAAGTTCGCAAACGCCTGGTCACAAACTGTGGCCAACCTACCGAGCAACAAAACACGATTGCAATTGAGTTATAGCCACCGTGAAGCAATGGTTTCCTGTACTGTTCGAAAACAGTAGTGCCAAAAGGTTTGACATGGTGGTGGGTAGTTGGATAGAGTTCAGCTCGATGAATCCAATTTTTTTAATTGCATGTGACTCGAGATCAATTTTTTTCTGTTTCCATCACAATTACAAGTACTCATCTGGTAGAAGTCATTACTGGAAGTCCGCTGTCATCCGCAGGCATACACAACTACAGACGGTTCTGTCATTTTGAGATTCCTCGTATTAATACATCTGCCACATATACAGTTGTTCAATCTCACTAGCAAAAAGTGATGCATCCGTGTCTTCCTAAAACGTGCTCATCCCAATGGAGGAAAACGGTGTTATGCTGCTGAATTCACCTGAGGCAATTTCAACCTCAAAAGCTTTGTTGCTTTCCCTGATTCGAACGATACGAACAAATCGAGCACGTAAATGAAATTTATTCAATTACTTACGAGCTCACTCAAGGATGTTCAAGAGTATTTCAGTATTATTTGAGTCAGCTGAATAGAGTACAGATGATTCGATTTTACTGGACCTAAATTGTATTAAAACCACTTGAAGTTTATCCTAACGGTGACCTGGAGCACAGGAAACAGGACTTGATCGTGCCAAAATTGGCTTCACACCATCGAATGCACTAGGAAGCTGTTGGTACGCTCCGTCAGAAATTTAACGAATATCCGCATAGTGACAGCAGTTCACAACTTCAAGGAAAACGGTCAGCGTGACATTTATGTCAACTTTGTTCGTCCAAATGGATCTAGTTCCAATATCCCGCGGGTGACGCAATTAAATTTCTTCTCACAATCGTACATAAGTATTATAGTAACGAAACGAAAAAATGCATGTCAAGCCATACGGAAGTGCAATTTTTGAATTCTGATGAAGCGGTTCAAACTAAATCTCAAGCTTTTCTTTCAGTGATGCAATGAGAGTAAGTTTTGTGCAACAGTGCAACATAAGTTCATGTGATATTCAAATTTCATGAAAATATTCTAACACGAGACACACCAACGGAGAGTAAACTCGCTGAATAAGAGTACCATTAAAATTTGGACGTTCGGACATTTTGTGGAACAGTCACACTGATGAAATAATGACATTTACGTAGCACCATGAGTGCTATAAAATGGGACCGGTCAGGATTTCTTGTTAATGTCCTATCAAGTTTCACTTTTTATCGTTGCCGCGATTACCACCAATCACCCTTTTATGAAAAAGAAGGAAAAAATAAGAGTAAAACCTTGGGCTCAGTCGACTAGTTACTTAATCTAAGTCAGTCGGACAAGATAGTCCTCTTGTTTATCACTCATCCGCAATGAAACAGGTGGGGGTGGTTTTGCGAGCCTCCTTTTCAAGCAAGAAAGTACGTGTCACGGCATCTGATGCACTGAGACCTTTTTGAACTTGCACATGACTCCAAAATCTATTTCTCACCAAGCCAAATCGCGCACCACCTGCTGTCTGTTCTTTAAAAGATGGAATTTTGTTTAATCTTCTGTGAGAACTAGGCGCTCACCTTTCTTACACTGTTTCTCCAGGCGCGAGGAAAAAATAAGGCCAAAGTAACACACGAAGTAAACGGAAAGTGGTTACCTGGGATTGGTGGTGCGGTCCAGGAATAATTGTGCTGAATCCACCAGATGCTTCAGCAAGTGGAGACATTTACGGAACTTGGAAAAGAAGGGATGGTGGCTGATTAGGCAAAAGGTTGTTAATGAGGCCCAATTTCCTGCTGAAGCCGCCGAATGTTCTGTCCTGACTTGTCCGACTTCATTCCCTGACCGCTTGAAAAGTGTCATATTTAAAAATGAGCGATGAATTAAAATGTGTTATTTGTTTTTCTTTATCACTGAGGCTACAAAAAGACCATGAGACAAAAAAGATAAGGTGACCATACGGACAACTTATAGAACACTAGTAAAATTATCATTCAAACACCAACACTTACGTTTGTGCCATGCAATTCTGAACGAAAGACATTCAAATGTTAGCTGTTTTATTTCGCGCTTAGCTGTTTGGATAAAATATTTTCTTGTCAGGTGAACATGAGGTTGCCAACGCTCAAATCCAATTTGTCTTCCACGTAATCTATGACAAACCACAGATTTCGCACATATACGAAGATTGAATAGACCCAGTGCAACACAGTGTAGCCGAACTGTATAAATCATATAGGCAATAGGAGATTCTGGGCGGTTGTCGACGGTTTCATCGTTCTCACATTATAAAACAATGTATAATGGTCAGCCACCAGAAACTGAACGAATGTAACCAAGTTTAGTTGTCATGTCAAAATCAGCCATTAGGTTCCATATATGTTAGCCCATCGCATTTCTGTACACACCTGGCACCTCCAGCCATGAACGCATCCAGCTGTTATTTAAGTGAGAATATATCATTATTGAGCCAAGCCTTCTGAAGTATACGCTTTTCCTTCAAAGCGGACACCAAATCGTTGTCCAAAAATACGCCCTCATAACTATTGAATAAGAGCTTTGAACGTTGACGAATCTAACTGCAGCGTGAAACATAACTCTCACGAGATCATGGCATGATGGAAAACAATCTCAAGGACTTCATCAACTCCAAAGATGTTTCATGTTCACACGATCACCAATTAAAATCACACCGGACAGTGACCCGCCAACGTCCTTTCTTCGGCTAATAGTACTGCATTGTTCTCATTCCCACACCTGAATTTATATGGACCAACTAATTTATTTTCTCTGGAATCTAACAGCTTCACCTGACCAACACAAAAGAACAAAATTTTTGCGGATTACATTCTTTGCTCGTGCTTCTCTTTTAGACAGACTAGTTCGTTCCCTCGTTGTAGTAATAGTTTAGACGACTGATAGCCGTCATGCTATATTTGTTCTGTATAAATATTTGCTGTTCCTAGCTGAATGTATGCAATACATATCTTCATAAGATAGTATAGCATTGTACAACACAGTATAGCGAGATGCGGTATAGCAGGGTGTACCATAGCACAGTATCGTACACTTACTTGTATTGTGACAGCGATTATTCCGAGGGGTAGAAACCAAGATTAAGCTCTATTTATAAGGCAACTAAGCTCAATAAAGTTTTATTCATTAATTCTACAAATTGCTAGACCCTGTTGGTATGCAGTCTGAGGGTAAATGAAAAACTTCCTCTATTGCTGTTTCGATGCATCTGCCTTAAAGTTGAATTTCAGATTCGTTTAAAAATAACACCTTACCTTATCACTTTGGTCTTCACAGAGGAGACGAAAAAAGTTGAGACTGATTCCAAAACGAACTTTTCCCGTATCCTTATCGGTCAGTGTGAAAATAAAAGATTCAGGTCCCTACAGTGAATATGCTTAAGTTGAACAGTGTTCTCACCAGATCAGCAGTACTCCTGTTGGAAATTAAACAGCCGTCTGGTTGACAAAAGAAAACAACTTCCTTTGGAAGCTCAAAATCCTTGTGATTTGTGTTGGGATAGCATCTAAGTAGCTGGGGTGTGTGTTTTGGGAGACACGAATCAGTGTTCTCGTTTCGACCAACAACAACAAGATAATCCAGAAGACGTGGACAGATGAAGTTCAAAGTTGGCGTCTGCATTTATAAAATTTGCAGCAGATGCCGTTTACGTAACTGAAAAATAACAATAAGTTGGGTGATATGAGACAAGCCATATGGGGGAAAAACTACTAGAACTTGGAGAAAAAAGTCAGTATGGCTACATTTTTAGGCGAATTTTGTGGGAGCGATTTTGGAAACGCTTGGAGTCCTACTTTATCACCGGCAGCTCAAATAAGAGAATTGTCTACATGCTCTTCTAGGACGATGACATCCCCGATGACTCCATGTGGCAGGCCTGTGAGATAAAAACTAAGTACAGCCTACGGAGTATGAAATCGAAGGGAAGCTATGAGGGCTTAAACTGAACTGATGCACTCAAATGGCATACAAGCAAGAATCTTTCATTATTCATTAAGAATAAACGGCACATATTTATCAACACTATGGCATCGAAATAACCTCTGGAGTGCAAAAGGATTATCAATATGCTCGCTTCAGAAAAAAAGTCCGCCGACTTGGATTCAGTCTGAACTTACCGTTTGATGGACGCTTCAGCGATACATGATTACAAGACTTAGCGAAGGATTGGAATTTTTCACGGGGTATACATCGTTTTATTTAGTGCCTTTCAAAAAATCAAACACTTCCGGTTGTTGTTTTCGCTTAACTTTTATGATCTTAGGAGTTCCTTCCGGTTTGTGCCACTCAAGTGCAACTCTTTAACGTGGTTGAGAAACCCTATATCTGACTAGAATGAAAACTGGGTGGAATATCAAAACCGCACGTGAACTTATATGCTTCTAAATGGCACAGAAAGAAGTTGAGTAAAATTAAAACACCATATATATGGTAAAGCGTTTCGGAAAACGCCACCATCACAATTGTTGCCGAATGGCTCTGCCAGTATATATACTATTGCCATTCTTGCCCGGTGGTGCGCACGTACTGGTGTTACAGCTCCCAACACCCTTACTAAGTTTATTAACTTGACACACTGATTCCGGTTCGTTATCTATCTTTTTCAGGCTTGCTTCGTTTTTCGAAGTCTGGGTAAACCCTGTTTCATTTAACTCTTGCCCCCAATTCCTTTACCTTCTTGTCTATGCTTTGCTGATCTCGAGACGTCAGCCACTGCATGCAAGGCTGGATGCAAGTTTTATGTTTACACTTCAGTAGACCTAATTATATCCTTAACCGACCATTTCGCACTTCAGAGCAATTGATGGAATGGCATAGATCATACACGTACCTGAAGCCTTCAGTATACTGGCAGTCAAATTTGTTGTATTCAAACACTTGAATACTCTAGATACTGCATACCGTTCCTTAGCCAATACAGCGCATTATAGGTACTCTTAGCGTTGACAATGGTCTCAAATCGAGATATACCGCGCTGAAACTTCGGAGGCCTAACACATGTATGATCGACAGTCTTGACAATCTTTTAGACCACTTCTGACCTGCTTCTTCTGTGCGCATTCACCGTCTTGTCAAAAATGTTCAGCTTTGGCCGACATGTTATTTGAGACTGTTTCCAACAGAGTATTACAAACTGCTTTGAAGATAGCCGCAAACAGCCGGTTGCGGTTGTATTCGTGACCTAAGAGACTACAAAGTACACGAAACATGACCGAATTTGCTAGTCTGTACCTGTATATTATCAATGCAACATTCTGCCTATATGTAGACGACTTCTTTGCAGTTGTTAACAATGAGGCAGAATCGAAATTGCTCCGACGACAGTTCAATAAGACCCACACTGCCATTCATTTTATTTTGGAAGGAGAAACCGACAACTTCTACTTCCTAGATATTGGCCTCGAACGACGTCACAGTGGTACACCGAAACGATTGGTGTACCCAAAACCTACTTGGTCCGGGCAGTACATTAACTTTAACAGCCCTGTGCCAATAAACCAGAAAGAGAACCTGGTTCATAGCCTAACTGACAGAGCAAAAACATTCTTTGATGACGCACTGGAACTAGAACTCTAAACTCTCATTAACGTCCTGGGAGACGACAAATTTCCCGACAAGTTCATTACAAATCGTTTGAACAGGGAAGAAGCCAGCACCGTCACCGTCACAATTGGAAGAAAACTTGTCTACATTAGCCTCCCGTTTAATGGATATGTAATGGCTAACCTACTAAACAAAATGCTTCCTACCAGTTTGAACAAAACGTTCTCCGCCGCAACGCCCCGAACCTAGTTCGCGAGCAATCGCCTGTGCTCTTTTAATCTCAAAATGCAGTGCCTGTTCACGCCCAAAATATGTTACCATACTCATTCTCTTGCTTCTATGCAGCGGAATACATCAAACGCACGACTAAGCAACTCGGCAAAAGAATGAAGGAACACAATCTATCCTGGCTAGGTTCAGGAGCGAGAAGAACGGTAACCATGTTGGAAGTACAAAATTTAGCTGGCACTGCACACTACGTTATTCCCAGCTAAAGCTTTCACGTGGTTTACAAGGCGCCAGCTAATCAACCCAGATCAGTAGAGCTACGCACAATTGCACTGGCTGAAGCCATCGCCATACGATATCACGACCCGATCCTTTGTCATCAAAAGCGCTTTGTTCGTGTGTTGTACTTACCATTTGCCAACTTACCTCCCCTCAGACATGAACCCTGTGCTAAACACACAGCACCACCCGCACTGACAAGCTCAATTCATCCAACTGGTAACCTGAGCTAATTGTTGTTTGATAGGTAGCCAATCTCGTCTCTCACTCGATTTCCTGTCTATGTACACCATGCTCTCTTAACCTTTGCAAACGTACTATTTGAAAAGACCTTGCCAGAAACATGTTCGTCAACTCATCTGTGTTCGTATCATAAATGAAAGTTTTTGGAATATTGCGTACTTTTAATATCTATCCTCAATGGACCGATGGGAAATCTGCTAGTTGAGCATCTGTTACAACATCGTAGTCCCATTTGATTACTCCCTTTACTTTCTATAAAGTAGACCAATACGGCACAACGTTTGTCCCGTTTATTAAACGGGTTTCTCGTTCAAGAGCATACGTTGGGCCAGATTTAGACTTTCAGATGTGCAGAAAAATTCCCCAAGTGCTTTTTGGTTATACGTTCAAGAACCCTGAAAATTACGGACGTTAGACAAATAGGTCTGATAATCTTCTCTTGAAAGTTGTAAAACTATCTTCATCCTCCAGTCTTGAGATAGTTTTTTTCTTCCGTGATCAGCTTTGGTTTTACGCTTTAATTTTAGGGAAAAGTCTCTTGGGTGCAAGTCAGTACATTTCGTCTGGTCTTGGTGCTTTAGTGCAATTGAAGGGTAAGTGCAGCTGTTATATACCTGTAGGGCCAAGAGCTGCCATTCTTGATCATTTGTCTCCTTTAACCTCAATTACTGTACCAATCAACGTTCTTGTACGTACAGAGCGTCATACATAGTTGAAAGTGGGGTACGGTCAGTTTCTATCACCTCCTTTTGAGAAGAAAATCACCCCCAGTTACCCTACATCGGGTGGTGGTCTCGTCATGCGTCAGATAGCTCCTTCAAATTGTAGATTCATATCATGCCTGGTAATCTGTTATTTCCTCAGGGATAACATGCAATGAGTGGTTGTGTTGTATTTTCCTCTGGCGAGAAGTCAGAGCACTGCCGCGATTTTCTTGAGCCTTGAAATGCCCCAGTGTTCCCTGTCATGTCCTGGCAGTTTAGGCACACAGAGTGCATTATCCATTGATAGATTTTAACCAGGGACTCACATACAAAACTCACATACAACTAGTTTTGCACACGAGAGTAGAAAGTTTTCATTAAGTTGAGCTCAATGTGGGCTTCGACGGGCCTGACTTTTTCTTGCTCCACAAAAAAAGCAGTGGTCGTGTTTGATACTTCGAGATCGCCTTGTGGGCTAAAAACCACATCGCACACAGGTTTGTTCCAGACCACTTTCTGAAGAAAGGCAGGCTTAGGAAAGTTAAAATATTCGGAAGTGGAAACTTGTGGAGTTGGTTCACTAGGAAAGACTAAAGTTTGCGACGATGGTGAGTGTTACAGCAGTGAATCACCTCTGTTGGTGTCCGCAGAGACTGGTTGTACTAGCAAGCGGTGGTGATTATCATCACTTGCTTTCATAGTTTGCGGAATTTTAGGATAGGAATGGTGCAGCATTTCAATCTTTTGCATACGGTTGCAGTTAAGTGACGGTTTCTTACTTTCCATTTTGAAGCGGTTTGGGTACAAGGTAGAGAAAATGATGCGCAGAAACGGTTTTAATGCCCTCCTTTGTCGGATCGTGGAAGACTGGTTGTTTTGTAAGTTGTTCACCAGCCGATTGAAACGACGTGCATAAACCGCGTTCTTCTAAATGGCGCAAAGCTCTGAAACCACTGGCACATCTTTGTAACTCTAACTAATCAATGAGTTACTTTGGTGGAGTGTGTTTTGGTCTTCACATATGTCTTAAGTGTCGTAGCAACCACATTTGTGGACATCAAAATTCCCATCAAGATTAGTGATCCACTGATTTTGTGCATAGTTCATCGTGGTAGGCGCTAAACGTTGACTGCAAGCGTTTTTCCTTCATTTGAAAATTTCTGTTTGCAGAAAGTTGACTTGTAATTCTGGGCCACTATACAACAAAGCCATATAGATGACTTCCTTGTCCCTATTAGATCTGGTTGTGGTATATCAGCTTCTTCTGACGCAACTCGCAGGGTTCATGAAATGTCGAAGGGATCCTGCAACAGGCGGTCCATCGAAGTCAGTGTGACTCAAGAGTAACTGTTTTTGTGGCACCGCTGGAGCTGATGACGATTCTGAGTGATGATGGCTTCCAGTTTTACTTGGCAATAGTAAGTGGTTTGAGGGAGACTCTTGACAGGTAGAACTATTTACCCAGCTCAGCCTCTTCTTCGCTTTTGTGTAACCATCAACGAAATTGTGCGCTAATAGGTACACTGCCTAAACTGGCCTAACATGTGTTCATGCTTGGAAAGCCCTATATTACAGGCCGGTTGGTTGCACGCAAATCTTGGTGTTAAACGTAGGGGTGTTGCA